ACTTGGCTTTATTGGTTTTCTCTTCTTTCTTTTGCCATCTTCGAGTGTTACTTGAAGCTACACTTAACTATGGATTGTTTGAACCCACATTTTTATAATTCATCTCTCTTCAAATTATGACATTGATATAAACAGCAAGGGACAAGGAGTATTAAGCTTTATAGTTCATATCACTTTACAAATCATTTCATTGTATTGAAAAAATATGTTTTTTTGTACATGGTGAATGATGTGCCTATATGTATTGTTTATTGGGGATTTTTGTGCATATACCTAATGGACAAGGTCGGGATTCTTATGTATAAACCAAATAGACAAGCTTCACAGTTCATACCACTTTCAAGACAAATATATCTAATGGACAAGTTTCACATTTCATACCACTTTCAAGACAGACTTTTGTGTTTAATTCTTTTAGAAAAAGTAAAGCTTTTTGCTAATTTCCTATCGGATGATCAAGTAATTTTCTCATATATATTTTTGCTATCAATAAACATTGATAAAATTTCTTATATCACTCCACATGCAAAATATGGATACAAGTGCAAATCGTTAATAGGAAAGGTATTGGTAGCAAATATCAACATAATGCGATTATCGCATAAGATGAGGACATAAGGACTTTTTTCATCATAAGCTCTCTCATGTTTTTAATATATTAGTATTTCATTGCCTATGAAGACTTGTGCACTCATTAACAATTACTTTTTTCTAGATAAGGTAAAGTCCAAACTATTAGATACAAAACTATATTTGTAAGTGTCAAATAAATTGATAATGGTAAAACTATCAATCAATATAGGTAGAAAAATACTATCTCTTAATGGTACCAATTGCAACTTTCAAAACTTCCAACACTTCTATAAAATATTTGTTTTATTTTCAAGACATGAAAAAAAAATTTGAAAATGTTGATGTAATGACAACAACAAAAATTCTCACCCTCGATGGACATTTCCTTCGAGTTTGGTCAAGGTTTTCTAGTTTAGAAACTAGAACTCTATTCTATGCAATCAAATTGCTTTTACGCAAATGGGTCCTTATCAACCTCAAACATACAATCTTAAAACCAATTTTGTCAAAAGATGTATTGGTATCTCGCTATGGTCTAATCTTTCTTATAAAATATTTTTATCCGGAATACAATAACATACAATATAAAACAACAAGTTGCTTATATTATCGTGTAAACAACATGATAACATCCTTCATTGTTTGTTACTTGAATATCATTTCTAGTAATCATATAGCAAATAGTGTCAACCACACATAGTGTACACGAATGAAAACAAGTGCAAGGATTAGAATACAACCATCAAGAATCGTAATCTAATCATAATTCTTCCCAACTAAATGAAAAACCTAAATTATATGGGTACCTAAATAAATAAGTAAAATAGGCTAACTTTGAGAGAGCTTGCGAGTACATGAAGTGAGGAAAGGACGAAGAGTAATTGAGTAGGAAGAAGAGGTTAGTAGATGGTGACCGATGAGTGATGAATGATGACTTTGGGATTGGAGAAAGTTGACAAAGAGGTGGGTGGTGAGTTTAGTGATCGGTGACATTGGAGGAGTATTGGAGGAGGATAGAGAGCCGGAGAGGTGGGTGGTGACTGATGAGATTAGAAGAGGATTGAAAGATGACAGATTGCAAGATAGATAAGTTTTGAGTCCGTTGACCAAAGAAGGATAGATTGCAAGATAGGTGGGTGTTGAGTCCGTTGACCATGTTGCTTGTTGAGGTAGAATGCCCGATGACGTGATGAAAGATTGAAAGAGAATTGGAGAATAAGCAAATGAAGGTAGAAAGAGGTGCGGCTAATTTTATTTTTTTCCAGTGAAGTTAGGCTATCTTGGGAATTGAGAATGAGAATTGGAGAAGAAGGGAATGAAGGTCGAAGGAGGTTCGATCGAAATTTTTTGTTTCGGTGAAGCTATGGTTGCCTTAGGGATTTAGACTAGATTTAGGAATTTTTTTTTATGTATTTTTTGGTTTTTAGTTGAAACTGATTTTTTTTTCCAAAAATCGAATCGAGCCGAAATATTTTTGGTATTATGGTGTAGTTTTAAATTTTACAAATTTAAGTTTTAAAACCAAACAAAAATACATAATTTAATTTATTTCTTTTCGATTTTTGATTAACCGAACCGTTTGCTTACTCCTAGATATTATGTGTAGATGCATATTTAATTTTTAATAAAATCAATAATCCTAATTTTACACACACACACACACACACACACATCAAGGCCTTATTCGAGTGTGTCAAAGTATATAGTATAAATCGAAAAATATTTTTTTTTAAAAATAAATTTGTAAGAAATATATTAAAATTAAAACAACCATAAAATTAATTCTAATAAACTTTGATTTATAAAGAATAAGCAAATAAAACATGTGAATTTTATTTTTTAATGAAACTTATTTAAAAATCTACACATAAAGAAAAATAAATCATATTTATTAATAAATAAAATTATATAAAAAAGAAGAATAAAAATTAGTTTGATAAGATTTTTTTACAAGAAACAGACAAATTAAAGAGATTAATTTTAAACAATAAGAGTAATATAATCCAATATATGTTCATTTTAAAATCTAAAAACATATCGTATATGTTTCATAATTGTCAACCTACATAAAAAATAAAAAAATTAATTTTTTATAATTTTTGCATCCAATTAAAATAAGAAAAAAATTACTTGAAAGTAACGGAAGCTAAAAAAAGAAAAACAAGAATGCACGTCTAGTGTATTTAGAGACTAAAAATATCTTTAAAAAATTTTAAGAATGAAAATAAAATACAATATCAAATTTATGTATAAATACCAAAAAAAATAACAAAAATATTGTTGCATAGTAAAAATAAATAATATATATGAGTTTTGAGTAAATAATGTCGTTAATAATAACTCATCCCAAATCTTCTGTGTGTATAGATTAGGCACATGTTAACGGTGATAAGTAACCCGGAAGGTCTTTGTTAGCTCTTGCAAAATGTGAAAGGCTTAAAGAGCGCTGAAGCACACAATTCCATGCTGTCTGCTATCTAAATTAAAAGTAACCTAATCTACGAAGCATGAACCTAAGAACCGGTCCCCCCATACGGCACGTGACGCACAAATCCGATGTTGTTAAGACATTTTAGATCAGACCAGACCACCATCCCATGTGGTCTTACTGTTACAAGTCAATATCATCTTCAGTAGTGATCAATGATAGTCTGCAAGTAATCATGAAAAGTTCCTTCGGGCCCTTAGCTCAGATCTGGCGAGTGTTGGTCTCATGGGACGCACAGTGCGTTAAAGTTTGGTAGGGTAATCGGGATACAAAGAACTTTTTATTAAAAATTTATCTACAACCCCTACTTTATCGTTAATCTCCACCACTACGGATGCTTAGGATTATGCCTTTGTACTGCGTTTCAAAAGTGTTTTTTTTTAAATGTATTCGGAATAAAAAATATCAATTTCATGTTTTTTCTAATGTTTGTAAATAATTTTAATATGCTGACGATGAAAAACATTTGGAAAAAAAATAATCTAAACATACTTTTGCAAAACATTTGTACGATATTGCAAATGAAACACAAGGCCATTGTAAATTCTTTATGTATTTTATTTTCACATCCACGATTAGATTAGACTTTAGAGGGGCACATAAACTCTGCTCGGAAGGACTAGTACCTGACAAGGGTGATTGGTAACTATGATAGCTTAAAAAAAAAAAATAGAATTAAAGGTTGCAGGTTTTTTTTTTTTACCTTTGGTTTATGTTTTAATTAATTTTTTCATGAATTTTTAAGGATAACAGTATTAAATCGCATCATCAGTCTCTTGAGATTGCGAAACATGTTAACTTGTCTTTTTTTTTTCTTAATATCATCCATTTATTTATCTATTTTTATTTTTGTCTCAATTTTTTTACCAAATTTAAATAAATAATTTAAAAAACTAAAAAAAGAGTAAAGATAAAATATATGTTTATCTAAAATATTTTTTATGAGTTTGAATTTATCATTATGACAGTAAACAAATTTTAAATATAAAAGAAAATATATGATCTTTTAAAAATATATACATAGAGAGAGTTTTAGTTAAATTTTTAAATTTTTGAAAAACATTTATAATTTTACAATATCTCAAAAGAGTCAATTATGATTAGTTATTTTAATTATATAAATTTTTTAAATTTAACTCAAAAATAGGAATACAAATTTTGTTATAAATTTTAATCAAATTAAGAAATTTGCTAGTGTTGAGTTCAACACTAAAAAAAATTATATTAAAAAATTTAACTAAAATTCTTTTTATATATTTTTTTAAAATATTAATAATTTATTTTATATTCAAAATTTGTTTGCTATAATATGTATAAATTTAAGAATATAAATGATGTTTTAGATAATTTTTTTAGAGAACGACTAAATATATTTTATTTTTTTCAAAATTTATTTATTTAAATTAAGTAAAAAAACAAGATTAAAATGAAAAAAAAAGTAAAATGACGACATTAAGGTGGAAAAAAACACGTTAATAGGGTTGCGATCTTGTGAAACTAATAATATAATTTAATACTATCAGTAAAAAATAACAAAATGATGAGATTAACAATTATATAGAAAGACGAACTTACAACGAAAAAATAAAATAAAGAGAGACAATAAAGATAAAAGAAAGAACGGAAGGGTTTGGCAACCATTTCATCGAAAGCAATGCTACTGTGGCAACCACTCCTTAAGTTTCAGCTAACCAAAAGCTGCCACGTCGCTTCCATGGCTTCTACATGTGTACCTTACGTTAATGTTCGGCGGTGAATTAGGATTTGTTTTAGTTTTTGGGTCAGATATTTTGGCTAAAGTAATAATAAATAAATAATAGTAATGAAATACTATATAAAAAATAGCAGAAATATATAAATATAAGTAATAAAGGTCAGGTAACTTAATTTGGTAACAGCTGGCAATTTTGGCCTCGCTTCTCAGTCCAACACGTCGCCAATGGCACCGCAAGTCTCTCTCTTCTCTCTCGCTCCTTCACTTTCTTCTTCTTCTTCTTCCTCGTGCCTGCAACTTCACCGGCGATTTGTCTCCCCGTCTCTCAGAACCTTAGCTGCTGCATCTTCTACTTCGAATTCAGAGCCCAAAGTCGTAGTCACTAGAGAACGAGGCAAAAACGGCAAGCTCATTAAAGCTCTGGTGCTCTCTCTTTCTACCTCAATTTCTCTTGTTTTTTTCTAGCGTTTCTTTTCGCTATTTGATTACGTAGTCGTGTTTTATTTGAACTCTAGAGTTATCAGTTCATCCCTTTTTTTTTTTTTTTTTTTTGCTTTTGATTTTGACTCTGAGGATTTTTCTCTTTTTACAAGTAATGTCAAATTCTTCCGATTTGGTTATGTGCATTGTTGTGGATATCAATTTTTCCACGTTAAGTGTTTGATTAAATGCAGAAAAGAAGGCTGCATTTTAAGCATTTTGTTTGTTACCAATCATTTTCTACCCTATATTGCTGTGTCTATATAATCTATTATGATGAACGGTGGAGATTTGATATCAGCTGATGAAAATAAAGTTGATTTTAGTCACACGTTGAATGCTCTGTTGTTTCAAAATGGAATCTCTTTTTGGGATTTACAATCTCGGAAAAAAAATATTGACATTTTCTTATCAATTTTTTTAATGTTAGCGATAAATTTAGTACAAAGACAGTTGTTCCACATTGAAGAAAACTGGAATCGTCATCTTTATTGTCTTGTGCCAAGCATTCAGTTCTGGTCTCTCTTATTGTTTGTGTATAGGAACTAAATGTTGCCAGTAGCTGTGTTAGTCGGCAGCATTTTAGGAATGAAGAACTTACCTGTAAAATTCTGTACGAGGAACTTTCTGCGTGGTGCTTATTTTTTTAATGAGTAAGATATTCGTAAACTTTTCTTGGTTAATTATTTTTTATAGAGCACTAGGGCTTTGCTGTTCCTGAAATTTTGGCACGTCATCCATTCTTCTTTATTGGGGATGGGAATGATGTTCTAACCGTCGGTAATGTGAGAACCATATTTGAACATGCCTAGGGGAAACATTCGATTTTGTCTGATTGCACCAAAATATGCAAGTGATTTCTTCTTGCGTATATAGTTTAATAGAATATATTGATAAATGAGAATTTTTTTTTTTCATTCTGAATGCAGGCGAAACATGGGATAAGTTGTTTGGAGCTTCCACTGATTCAGCATACACAAGGGCCTGATTCTGATAAACTCTCTTCTGTGTTAAGTGGTACTTTCTCGAAACTTTATGGTTCACTTATGGAACACTACTATTAATGTTCATAGAGCTTGTGTGTATCTTTTGTGTTCGGTGTTCCTCGCTATTTGTTTATACAAATGAGATTGTTTTGCACTGTAGAATTTCTTTCCCATATTCTGAGTAATGGAAGAAGTTTCTTGAGCATGCTTAAAAACATTTTTGCACCTTGAATTTCTCAGTGGCATGCATATTTAAGTAAGACTGTTTTCTTTGGATTGTGTTTTTACATGCCCAATGAACCATGCAAACAACAAATGTACACGTTACTTTATGCTTCTTATTTTGTTGCATTAATGGCAGACAGTGCGTTTGACTGGATCATAATAACTTCCCCTGAAGCAGGTTCCGTCTTTCTGGAGGCATGGAAGTAAGTGTTGGTGTTTCTGGCAAGATAATGCTCTATACATGTTTTCATTAGTCCTTGAATTTTTCTCAATGTTTTATTGAAGTTGTTGTTATTATTTTTTTTAATACATAATGCAACTTGAATCATGTCCCTTTTTTAACGTATGCCCTCCTTTTGCTTTTGAACAACTTGTCTGATTATCATGCATCAGTCACTTTTCAACTGAGGATGTGTATATTCTCTTGTAGTTTTCTTAGGAATCCTATATACTCTCGTTGTTAACTTTTGGGTTAATTTTGTTACTGGCATTGCGCCCTTTTACAAAGTGCTCACTACTCTTCTTTTTCTGCCAAATTCCACCCTTCTACTCCTGCTTCTTTTTTGTCCTCTCCAAAAACAAAACACGGTGGCACATAGCAGCATGTGACCCTGCCTGCTGGGCAAAACCATACATGGTTGGCTCGATATATGCTATTATTTCAAGATATTGAAGTTGATTGAACATCATACTATTCTTTCGATTTTTCATCCTTCTTTTTTCTAAGGAACAGCCTAAAATAAATAACACTGTTCTTAAATGTTGGTCCTTAGGGCAGCTGGAACCCCGAATGTTAAGGTAGGGGTTGTAGGAGCTGGTACAGCAAGCATTTTTGAGGAAGCAACGCAATCATCAGAGAGATCACTTGTTGTTGCCTTTGCACCATCAAAAGGTACTGATGGATGTCCAGATACATTGGCAGTCCCACAGATAGTTTGTTGCCTTTACACCTGCATTGTGTTTTAACATTGTGTCACTTGATCAATGAGAAATTTTACCATCAATTAGTCAGATGAATTTGTTTTATTCCTTGTCCTGATCCAAAGGCAAATTATTTTTTCATTGAAATCATGTTCAAATATGTAGGCTGTTGCACACAAAGTTACTGCTTCACTATCTGTTATTTGATTATTGGAACTGTCACATGTGCCTTTTCTAATGAATTCTTCCATTCTTCAGCAACGGGTAAGGTTTTGGCATCAGAGCTTCCAAAGAACAGAAACAAAAGATGCACTGTCTTGTATCCAGCTTCTGCAAAAGCAAGCAATGAGATCGGTAAGCATAGTGTCTCTGGTTGTATGCTTTCAATTTAATAGACATTTCTTTTCTTTTGGTCATTTTAGCAGTCAATAACTTATATGTTACTGTTTTTGACATCTTTCATCAATTATTTATTTCTTAATTTGGTTAGTTCACTAAACTATATTCATAATCTTTTATTATAAGTGGGTATATGATTAATTATATAGGTTACTGAGTGTTGTTATGTTTCACATAAAGATTAGTATGATAAGGTGCATACTAGGAGGCTACGATGGAGCAGTTGGAACATAACACTGTCTTGCAAATAATACTACTTAGTAATGAAAAAGATGTGTGGTGGTAAAAGATACTGCCACGTGGCACTTTATGGATTTTGCTTCAGGTTAAGCTGTGCAGAGGATACACTTTTAGATGGCCTAGATTTTATGTGAACAGGAAAATGTTTTAGTTCACTGTCTTGACTGTTTCATGTTTGATCGAAAATGTATTAGCTCAATGGCATATATTACTATTCAACAGTTATCACATTTGAAGTTTGCTCTCTATAGTGGAAAAGCTGCAAAAGAATAACTTTTAGCATTTCTTTGATATAACATTTCAGAAGAAGGCCTGTATAATCGTGGATTTGAGGTTGTCAGACTAAATACATACACAACTGTAAGTATTTGCTCCTTGAACTATGATATTTATTATAACTCCATGCATTTATTAGGAAAATAATTCTCAGAAACCTGACTATAAGGTTTGGACTTAGATGCTGGCCAGCTCTGAATCCCCTTGCTTGGTTTCTAGAGCAGCTGTGGGTGTTCCTTGATTTGAGGCATTTCTTGCCCTCTACGGTCTAGGGTCAGTTGCTACTAAACTTACTTATGGACCAGTTTGCATGATGGAACAAAGGAAGAATATTTTAACATTATCTGAACACTCTATTCCCAATTCATTTTGTTCATGTCCTATCTCAGGATGTAGCTTATCTTGCGATTGGTCTGGCTGTTGTATAAATTATAAACCACAGTTTCTGTGGTAGTGTTGTCCGTACGAGCAGTAACTGGATAGGATTTTTTTGGTCAAAGAGAAGTCAGTTACAAATGAAATTGTCATCTTCATCTCTATTCATCTTCTCCCAGGTGCCTGTTGGTCATGTTGACGAAATGGTTCTGAAGCAGGCAATTTCAGTTCCTGTTGTTGCAGTTGCTTCCCCTTCTGCCGTTCGGTAGGGAATTGGTTACAATTTTCATATAGTTGATATGTAGAACTATCTGTTGATGAGGACATTCTTGAAATCAACTTGCTGTCCTTCTGACATATCAATCAATTTCGTATATAGACTACCAAATGGTTGGTCACTACAGTAGCAGTCCCTCCTTGGTGCCTTTTAATATGAGAAAAAATTTCATGGAGATCCCTTCGTATCCCCTCTCCATTTTGAGCTATGTGGAAAATAAAGGTTATTCTTGGCATAGTTTATTCTATGTTCTTAATTCATGTTCCTTTATTTTGACAGAGCCTGGGTCAATCTTATTCCGGAATCAGAAAAATGGAACAATTCAGTGGCCTGTATTGGGGAGACAACTGGATCAGCAGCAAAAAGATTAGGTTTTAAAAAAGTGTACTTTCCAAGACAACCTGGTCTTGAAGGGTAGCCCTCATCCTCTAGACCTCTTTTCTGGGAGTTTTTCCCTCCTTGTGCCAAGATTGAGCCTCTAGAGTATTAATCAATCATTGCTGATTCTGTTGCATGAGAAAAGCATTAACGTTGGCTTTTATCAAGATTTTATGAAGCGTTGTTGTTTAAAGTTTTAAATATGCTTCAAGAAGTTCTTCCATGAGACAAGCATGCTATTGTCAGGTGTAGAAGTCAGAAAGCTCCTAAATGTGAAGCCGACTGGTTTTGAAGTGGGAGTCTATCATATGCCTGAGATATTTAAAACTATTGTCCTTATCCAGACATTGATCTGATCGAAACATTACCTATGTGGAGACCATTTTAGTTGATCTTTTATTGTCTTCAATTGCTTTTACTTTTAATTTCACAAAAGTAATCAATTTGAAATTCTTTCTTGCCTCGGTTACATGACCAAAGAGCATTTCTCCTTTCATCTTTTCCTATTTAGTCCTATGGCCTTTGACTTTTTTTAATTGATTTAGGATATTGAAAAGATTAATTTGTCCTATTTGTTGGCAATTTGTACTTCAATTTAAAAAAAATTCTCATGGCAGGTGGGTAGATAGTATCCTTGAGGCCTTGAGAGCACACAATGACTCCTAGAAGTTGCTTTTTTGTTTTCAGGTAGCCACTAAATAAATTAATAAGCCTCATGTCATTGTCTTAAATAATGTCTTCTTGTTATCTTGTGAAGTATTTTTGACATGCGCCTCTCTAGTTCCCATGATTCTTAGGCAGGCTTACACGATTGATGCAGCATTGTTGAAGTGTCTGCATGCAAAACTGGATGCGAGATGCAAGACAAGGATGCAATTTTTCAAGCAGCAGAACAGAAGCTTGAATGTAATGGTATTTGGAGGGATCAACGCTGTTGGTGAAACTCTCCTCTGAGGTTAGTGAAAAGGCTATTCAGATTAGGTTGCTGGCAAGGAAGAAAGCTATCGAGATGATATTGCCAGAAAACCTCTCAACTTGTATATGCATTTTTCTCGTGGAGATTCAGTTGGTGTATATTTGTCGAAACTGAAGTGCCATGTTCTCCTTGTTGAGCTGATAACTGCAAGCAGAAACATAAAATAGGGGTACTGTGATGTTGCACAGTTTTATCACCTTATAGCACTGTTATATAATATAAGAGCTTAATGGAAGATAGACTTGCTGTGCTTTCAATGTTTGTATAGCATTGGCTTCGTCCAATTTTTGCTTTCTTCAAATATCTTAGCAAGTGTACTGGAATGAGGTGCTCAATTATTTGATTTGGCTTCTTTGTTAGGCTGATTGAACTCTTTAATGTTTTTCCCCGCTCTCAAGAAAGAAGACCTATATACCTTGTAACCTTCTGGTTAAGCTACTGTGTCTCACAGGTCAGGGTGAAGTAAAGGTGTGATACTGAAGGCCAGATATTTGAAATCGTATTGTGGATTACTTAGTGTGATAAATTTCAAGAGGCATTATACGCTCTATGTTTAGAGTGGTGAATTTTATTTTGAGATGTAATAAAAGAGAGAGAGAATGATTATTGCCAGTTAAACTGAAAAGAAGTTTGTCATTTAGACTTGAGTGAATCCAGGGTAAGAGTGTGATCCTTGAGGACTCTACTGACAGGCTTGATCGATTAGGATGACTTCAAAGAGAATGGAAGTCCAACTTTCGGGACAACGCTAGGGATGATCTGCAATTTTTGGGAGCCTTCCAGGTACGTTGGTACCACTCTGTATTCTTCCTTTTTGTAATTTCTTGGTACAGATAACCATCTCTTTGGATTAACAGTTAGAATATTTTTATTGAATTAACATACAAAGTGGTTGAATATTCAAAAGGACGATGCGTGCTAGCTTTCATGTGGCATCGTTGAGTCTAAGATGAGGCAGAAGATCTTTTTTTTTTTTTTTTCTCTCTTCTTCTTCAAACACTGGAAGTAATGCTGGTTCTTGCTATTTCTATCTGGTCAGGGTTTTTGCGGAAAACTGTTGACTATTTCTCGTGTACACACGCAAGAACAACTATGTGTCTTTGGTTTTAGTAACCCACGTAGGGTGGAAAAATTTTTAATTACCGTGCAAAATGTTTTTATCAAGTTCCTAGTGACATCGTGGCATCTATGAACCTTGTTTGGGCTCCAAAGTCCAAACTTTCTCGAGTGCTTGGTGTTTCATAGAATCCCATGTTTTGCTAACAAAAATTGATTTAGTCCTGCTGTATGTCTGTTCTGGCAAAATCGAGTCCATAAAGAGTCGCCCTTTTAAGTTGTGCAAACTGGTGATTCTGAGGAACTTTTCATCTTCAGTATTGGCAAAGCTTAAATCACAAGAACACAGAATGAGATCATCATAATATTATAGGTTACAACACAATCTGTTCGTGCTCTGGTCACAAGTAGCTTGAATTTCAAACAAAAAATTTTATCATGTTGGGGATGCCATTCCATACTTATTGAGAGGAAGGTGGAAGGTTCCCTGAAGGAAAGATGAGACGATGGTGAGAGCCTGCTCTTGTTGGTAGCTTGCAACTGTATGCCCAGATCCTCTTACTGGGACCAATGCCACTCCCTTGTACCCGACTACATACCCTCTAACCTGCCACCATTAGAGGGAATACATGAACTATTTCTTGCCTTGGATTTAATGATGGGTTGAAAGATCAAAGAATACCTCATTATTCGAGTACCATAGGCGCCAAGCTGTCTCGTTTGGTAGATTGAAGGTGTTAATGTCGTACCTAAAGGTTGTTACGGACACTACAGTATCGATGTCGCCTCTACAGGTCTCAATTCAGTCATGTCTTCAAGTGTTAACTATTGTGACAGTTTTTATGTTTGTTTCTGTTCTTGTTTTTCCCTTTTTCTGAAAAAAAAAAAAAAAAAACCTTGATGAAGGTGTTAAATGTATATCTTTGAAGTTAATTATGCTCGGATTTATCTTCTTCTTTCTACAGGTGAGGGTTGAAATATGTTTGGCAAATTTATGATTATTTGTGTATTTTTAGTATGAAATAACATTATTTTTAAAATGTTATTTTCCCATTACGAAAGTGGATGTTTTTGGATAAATGCAAACTCGCTTTGAAGATTATATAAAAACACCAAGTCTTTTAATAATAAAAATAAGGGACTCTTCAAAAAATACTCAAAGACTTGATTTGTCTCTTCGTAAAGAGAGAATTAAAAAAAAAAAAAAGTTTCAAGCAATCATTGAATTCATATTTATATTTATAGCTTCGAGCGAACAATGATATGGCAGCATTTATCTAAGAAAAGGGACAAACTTTATTACCTCAAGGTACATCCAACTTTGCGATTTTAGCTATAGGCGTAGACTGATGGACATTATATGGCAAGCAACCATAATCTAACCTGATGGACATATCATTAATTTGTAAGGTAGGGATTCATAGTATCGTGATATTATCATTTTTTTTTCAATTTGTATACACTTAGATTTCCACTTCTTTCAGTGAAAAACTATCATCTTTTCGAGGATTCCAAACTCATCTGACCTGAAAGTCTATCCTTGGGTGTTTTTTTTTTTGAAAACAAAATAGTTTAAAATTTTTATTTTTAAAACATGATAGTTTTAATTTTATTTTCTATAATAGAGTATGTTCTCGACATATAGACTTCATGACGATGAAAATAACATTAAAATATATATTTTTTAATTTTGACTCAGAAAACGAAACAATAAAGTGGAGAGAGAAAGCATATGATTTTATAATCTCTCTTCTATATTTTTTGTTCTTTCTATACAAAATTCAAAATTTTTTCTCTCTTGATGGATTCTCCTACACATGCATCAAATAGGCAGTTCTCACAAATATATTAGTGTGTTAATTACATGAACAAGTATATTGATAAAAATTGTACAAAAATAATAAATAGCACATTTCATAATTAAAAGTTATTCTTAAACTATTCTAAATATTGCGAGATACAAACCAATTAGGCATTATTAGAAAAAAAATATATTGGTGGCTTGCTTAACCATAGTAAATTTTCAACCATTACAAGATTTAGCAAATTCTGTAATTTTCATTATTAGAGTGCACATATTCTAATTGGATCTTCATATATTTTTTATTTATTTACCTAACTTGTGTTATTAGGTATATGTAAACAACTCTAATCTTGAAAACTTATTGCCTATATCGTTAAAATCATGAATGTAAAATAAAAAGGAGTTTGAATTTAAAAGAAAAGAAATCCATTATATCTTATGATTATTGCTTTGAAAAGCTACAGAGATATATATTCATGATAAAATAGAAGTTTTTTTTTTTTTTTTTTTTGTTGTTGTTGTTGTTGTGGAGGGGGGGGGGTTGTATTTAGATGGAAACATAAAAGAAGAGAAAATACAAATAGTAAGTATGATATATTTCTTTTCTTGTTCAATATTTTATTTTATTTTATTTTCTCTTTTATTTAGGTTAATAATAAAGGAAAATGATAACATGGATCATGATAGAGTTTAGGTGATATGAACTATCCTATTACGGTAAATAAAACTAAAACTATCATAGTATGAGAATAAAGATTTTAAAATGCCCCATTTCAAAAAAAAAAAAAAAAACCGTCTATACTCTTTACTTCGTCGGTCAAAAGTCAAAGGGGCGGAGGTTGGAAAGGCGTATATTGCTAAATGGATGCTGTAAAGGGTTAAAGTTGACTTCAGGCCGACCTTACTGGGTTTTTATTTTAATGGCCGGGACTGAGAAGCCTCTCGTAGTTTGCTTCGACCCAGCAAGACACTTGGATCGATTCTATTTCTTAAAATCTCAGTCCAAATTCAAAACCACAGAGCGATGCTAATCATTCTATTTGGTTATTGGAAGTGTTAGCATCACGCGCTCCTTTTCTCATGAATTCGTCCACTCTTCAGCGATGGATAAGGTTTTAGCGTCAGAGCTTCCAAATAATGGGAATAAAAGATGCACCATCTTCTGTAAAAAGCAAGCAATGAGATCGGTAAGCATAGTCTCTCTGGATGTATGCTTTCAATTTAACAGACATTCCTAATTTTCTTCTGGCCAGTTTAGCATTCGATAACTTATTATATATTGAATAAACGAGGGTTCTTCACCAATAATTAAGTATTTTACCGGGAACTATCTGTTGATGACGATATTCTTGAATTCAACAACTAGCTGTCCTTCTGACATATCAATCAATTCTGTTCTGTATCATAGGCTAGCTACCGAATGTTTGGTCGCAACGCTAGCTGTGCCTCCTTGCGTGATGCCTTCTAATGTGTTTAATTTTGTGGGATTGGGATCTCTCCATTTCGAGCTGCTAAAGAGTAACCCAAGGTTATTGCTTGCATAATTTTGTTCTATTTATGTTCTCATTTCATCTTCCTTTATTTCAACAGATGAGATTCAGTTAGCATATTTTCTTGAAACTGAAGTGTCATGTTCCACTTCTTGAGCTGCTAACTACAAGCAGTAACATTTTAAATTTCAAGAGGCATTCGGCGCTGGATGTTTGGAGAGTGGGGAATTTTGTTTTGAGCAGATAATATTTCTGGCTGAACTGGAAAGAATTTAGTCTTTTCAGACTTCACTGACTTTGGGGTAAGAGTGTGATCCTCGAGGACTTAGAAATACTGTCAGGTTTGGTTTGGATGGCTTCTGAGAGCATGAAAGTCCAACTTTAGGGACAATGATGGGGATTATCTGTACTTCTGTAGGGGCTTTCCAGGTATGTTTATACAACTTTGTATTCTTCCTCTTTGGAATCTCTTGCTGTAGAGAGAGATTCATCTCATTGTGTAACAGTTAGAATTTTGTATTTAACTAGAATGCTAAGTGGTTAAATATTTAAAAAGGATGATTGGCATTAACTTCACGTGACATCTTTGAGTGTAATATGAGGCACAAATTCTTAGTTTTGTTGTCAATCCAAACACTGGAATTAGTGCTATGTCACTTACACTTTTCTATTAGGGTCAAGGTTTGGGAAGCTAAACTGTTGTTTTACTGATTGTTTCATGCGCACACAAGAGTAGCAACATGTCCTTGGTTTTAGTGACCACTTGAGTGTTTAAGTTACTGTTGCAGAAGGTTTTTAGCAAGTCTAAAAGGGGACATTTCTGGTGACATCATAGGACCAATATATCTTGTTTGAGCTTCAAACTTTATGAATGCTGGGGTTTTTGTTGGGTATCATTTATAAGAGTAGCCCATGTTTTCCTAACAATCATGGATATAGTCCTAGTCATGTCTGTTCTGGCCATATCAAGTCCATAAAACTCCCGCTTTTGAATTTTACAAACTGGAAATGTTGAGCCAGTGGTGAATGAAAAGGAGCTTTTCACACTCAGAATTGACAAGCTTATATCACAAGAATAGATATGAGGTCATTATGCGACTTTAGGTAACAACACAATATCATGACGGAGTGCCATTCCATGGTTTCCTAAGAGGGAGGAGGAAGTGTCCCCTGAAGGAAAGACGAGATCATGGTGAGTGCCCGCTCTGGTTGGTAGCTTGGAACCGTATGCCCAGATCCTCTTACTGTGACCAATGCCACTCCCTTGTACCCAACTACATACCCTCCTACCTGCTACCATGGTATTGAATTACATATACTATTTCTTGCCTTGGATTAAATGATGGGTGTGAAAGATCAAAGATTACCTCATTACTAGTGTACCATGGCCGCCAAGCTGTCTCGACTGGGAGATTAAAGGTGTTGATGGCGTACCTAGAGGTTGTCACTGATACTACTGAATCTATGTCGCCACTGCAGGCCACATTTCGACAATTATCCAAGTGTTAGTTAGGTACTGTGACAGTTTTAATCAGTCTGTTTTTTTTTTTTGGAAAATATTTTTAACTTAGAAACAGAATTTGGAGATATTCTGCTGAGAAATGGGGAAAAATGGGCCAAGATGGCCCCTTTTGTGAAATCCCGACTCACCTGTACATCCATACTCTAATCCCAATGGCCATTAGCTGCTTCATTGTGGGTAAAATAGTTGTCGGGCTGTCCGTCCATTCTTCTAGCTGACCTCTAGATGCAATAAGGTGGTAAACTTAGTTTAGGTTAATGCTATTGCAATTGCGAGGGAGAACAAATAGAACACTATTATCATGTGTAAGATTAGTATCTAATTAAATTCAAGAAAACTAATTATATCATACCCACAAGCTTCCCATTTTGTAGGTTTTGCATGAAGAGCTGTCTGCACCTGAGCAAGATTTAGATACGAGCGGACATAATCATCGGAGCAGGGGTCGAAATCCTTCACCTAATAAATAAATGACAACATAGTAATATCGTTTTTGTTAATAATGAGGTAGAATTACCTTTCTGTGCTCTTTGTTTTATTGCATTGTCATGTATCGCTGTTTTTCTTTTCTTTAATTGAGGGCTGATTGCCAAAGAACTTAATTGGCAGAAAGAAAATTCTTGAATATTTAATAGTGGCCTCGAATAAAACCATGTTCCTTAATCTCTCTAGTTTAAAAGCTAAATTTTTATTTCAGGAAATCAGATATTTGTTAGGAGCACGAGGACTTACAGAACCACTTGAGCCAGATTTTGATGTTGATTGATTGCAGAGCGGTGCATAGATGTTGTAAGAATCAAGCCTACCAACTTCGGCATCCGCTTGACTTTGATACTGATCACAGATGCTTGAGAAATTGCCAGTAACAAAGTCACAGTACTTGTTAATTGCTGCATTTGTTTCATCAGAGTTCAAGGCATGTGTCCAGTAATAATCATACGATCCCTTTGTACCAGTACTACGATCGACCCATGCATTCCCAATCTATGTCGTATAAAATTGAAGTAAAAAGTCATTGAAACTCAGCTTAAAAAAGCATAAAGAGAAGAAAGTTACGTTTAAGCATGGACTCACAGCGATGCCTTTCAGGTTAATGACGGTTTGATTTGTACTATTGTTATGCGAGAGAATTGTGTAAGCAAGCTGAGGTACGTAATGACCAGCATAGCTTTCCCCTGTTATATAAAAGTCGCGACTTTTATACTGGGGGAATCTTTCCAACCAGTTTACTAGAAAAGTATAAGCATCCTCAGCCGTTTTCTTGTCACCAGTAACATAATCCGAGGAAGTGTTTGAATATGAAAACCCAACTCCAGCTGGGGATTCCAAGAAGATAACATTCGCAACTGCCAAATTAATTTCGTTCATTTGTTAGGAGATGAAATAGCTAGGAAGCAGCTCAACTGCCAGTTTTATGACAACAAGGTTTGAGGATGAGAATAGAATGTTTGTTACCTTTGTTCCATGCATACTCATTTTGGTATAGTGTTTTCCCATCACTATTGACTCTGAATGGTCCCAGTTCTTCCATGGCCCCGAATCCAAGTGAAGAACATCCTGGCCCTATTCAACAAAACATTGGTGTCAGTTTATTTATTTAATTTTTCTGGTGGTAGATGGTGGTTGGGACATTTCTTTGCTCGCTATTTTATGGTGCTAGCAGTTATCACGGCCTTCTTCTGTTTTGAATCAGTACAGGATTGGGGAAGGGAGCAATATTCTGGGTAAGTGATTCTTCCTTTTCATTTTAATTGGAAAATTTGAGAGCTCAGTTTCATGAGATGATAACAGTATTAATCTAGAACTCTGATCGTATGGTGGAATTCAGGAGTTTGTTAGGATAGGGAAAGCTCAGAGAATTATATGTTGGAATCTGTTCTTGAAAATTGGTTGCTTATAAGACGAGCCCTTCAATCTCAGCGGCTTGAAAACGGCTGACAGGACATTGACCTTTGTAGAACAATGAACAACTTGTCCATCTCTTTAACGTGGACCTGAGTCTTAGACAATGACGAGCCACTTGATCTCGTCAACTTGCAAAATGTAGATGAGGGGCTGTTCACTCGCGAAAAGGGAATTCATGTTGCCTTCCATCAAGATAAGAGTGACGCGAGGTTCTAAATCATCTAAGAAGCCAATAGTGGTTCATATTTTACCAAAATAAATTGTTTCACGGGTTTTCTCAGTGGGGGGACCCTGACTCTTGAGGCTGAGCATATAATGCTTCTCTCATTATCTAGCATATGAATAATGGCACTCGATACGTCAATGGTGCTTATCTTGGAGAAGCAGTGGCTAATATTAATTTGCAACAAAAATGTCTGGTAGGAAATTTTGGAACCTCTTTGTTCTCTGATGTACTTGATTGCAAAAATGTGTATAATGTTCTAAACGTTTAGCCACTGTGAGGTGGGGAACTAAGAACTCTTTGGTGCTCAAATCATGTGATTGTTGACTGTGTCCATTCTTATTGGTATTAATTGCAAGTGCAGAGCGCACTTCAGAAAATAATAATAATAATAATAATAATATTGGTCACGGATGCACAACACTCTGTTGAGATCACTTAGCAAAGTTAGTGCAAGTCCTTTCTCTCAAAAGTTTGAGAATACTAGGAACAAATGCTCTTCTTTATGTGCGCGTCTGGGCATGCAAAGATGCAATTCGCATTCCTTAGCACAGGAATTAACAAGAAATACTGCTATGACCTTTTCGAATACCAACATGCATGCTCAAGTAACTGTTGCGTGAAGGCAGTATAATAGAAGAGTAATGATCTGTCTAGATGCACCATAACCATCACGAATAATTAATATATAACTAGATGAGCAAATATTGTTTTAAGTTACCTCCATTCAGCCATAACACCAGTGGTTTGGTGGAAGAATCCTGAGGTGACTCCACGAAGTAATAGAACAGTGCTCTTCCGTTCTTGGGATCCACTGTAACATAGCCTGCATACTGATTTAAATCAACTCCCGTTGGCTGTCCAGGCAAGGTATCAATCTTGTCCGTTTCCATCAATCCATCTTGATTTCCCACATATACTGATGACAGACGTCCGTATGTTGTATCCATTTCAACCCATGCGTCAGAGCGAGGAGCTTTGGCGGATTTGCGAGATTTAATCAGCTTTCGCAGGCTTGTGATCTGATTATCATTGCACGAAATGGGGAAGGCCAACAGGTAGAGAGAAAGCAGCAATAGCAGCAGCAGCAACAGAGGGGATGTTGTTGGTTTCATTTCTTGTGAGTAGCTTAGTCTGCCGACTGCCGAGAGCTCCTGCTATTTATATATAAGAGCTAAATAAAATAATAGTTTTCGACTTTTCTTTTAACAAAAAAAAAAACAAAGAAGCTAATTGGCAAAACGATTCTCTGAATTTTTCATAAAATTCAACTCAATTTATGATTTTTTTTTTTTTTGGGTACTTTAAGCTACCAGGTCAAAAAAATTAACCGATCGAAATTGTGTATATTTTTTCAATTTTTTTTTTATTAGGATCAGCAGGGATATCAATTTTTTTATATAATACATCGATATTTCAATAAAAAAAAACTAAAAATAAGGAATTAATTTGAATTTCACCAAAACTTTTTGGATGTGATTTTACTAATTAACCATAAAATAATAATAACCTTGAACCGAGAAATTTTATAATACTATTGACATATACAGTAGTTATTCCATGAATCAACTTGGAGAAGAGAGATAGATACAAAAAAAGAGAGAGAAATAAAAAAGAAAATTAAAAAAAATTGAACAAACATGGAAATCTCCTTATCATTTTTTGTGGGTCCGGATATAATTTTAAAATTTTTGAATGTGATTTTACTAATTAACCATAAAATAATAATAACCTTGAACCGAGAAATTTTATAATACTATTGTTATATACAAGTAATTACTTCATAAACCCACTTAGAGGAAAGAGATAGATACAAAAAAGAGAGAGAAATAAGAAAGAAATTTTTTTAAAAAAATTAAACAAACATGAAAATCTCCTTATCATTTTTTGTGAGTCCGGATATAATTTTAAAATTTTTTGATGTGATTTTACTAATTAACCATAAAATAATAATAACCTTGAACTAAGAAATTTTATAATACTATTGACATATACGAGTAGTTATTCTATGAATCCACGTAGAGGAGAGAGATAGATACAAAAAGAGAGAGAGAAATAAAAAAGAAAATTAAAAAAAAATTGAACAAACATGGAAATCTCTTTATCATTTTTTGTGGGTCCGGATATAATTTTAAAATTTTTGGATGTGATTTACTAATTAACCATAAAATAATAATAACCTTGAACCGAGAAATTTTATAATACTATTGACATATACAGTAGTTATTGTATGAGCTCACTTGGAGGAGAGAGATAGATACAAAAAAAAGAGAAATAAAAAAGAAAATTTTTTTAAAAATGAACAAATATGGAAATCTTCTTATCATTTTTTGTGGATCCGGATATAATTTTAAAATTTTTGGATGTGATTTTACTAATTAACCATAAAATAATAATAACCTTGAACCGAGAAATTTTATAATACTATTGACATATGCATTAGTTATTCTATAAACCCACTTGGAGGAGAGAGATCGATACAAAAAAAGAGAGAGAAATAAGAAAGAAAATTTTTAAAAAAATTGAACAAACATAAAAATCTTTTTATCATTTTTTGTGAGTTCGGATATAATTTTAAAATTTTTGGATATGATTTTACTAATTAACCATAAAATAATAATAACCTTGAATTGATAAATTTTATAATACTAGTGGCATATACAGTGATTATTCAATAAACCCACTTGAAAAAGAGAAATAGATACAAAAAAAAAAAAAGAGAAATAAGAAAGAAAATTTTTTAAAAAATTGAACAAACATAAAAATCTTCTTATCATTTTTTATGAATTCAAATATAATTTTATATATCTGTCTCTCTAGTCTAAATAAATTCATAAAATAACTATTGTATATATCATTAATTACTCCTTAAATATTATAAAATTCCTTCCTTCGACCGGCTGGAAATATACATCCATGGGTTGTATCGTTGTCGCAATTGCATGAGCGAGCTACAGCTTGCAGGATGGTAGGAGTTACCAAGAATGTTATTGGACGGGCCAGGGGCAAGCCATTATTGTCGGAATGTGTGGAACGTTGATTCCACATTCTCTACCCTAAAAGGTAACGTCCTGTTAGTATGTATTTTTTGAAGTTGTTATGCCTAAATTTGTCTTCTTCTCTCCATAGGCCATGGCTGAAACGCTCCACAGTGATGGTTCTTATCCTGACCCAAAGAAACAAACTTAATTAGGTGAATAGATTGGCCACAAGCCTACAAAATGTGTGAATAATCTCATGAAAGTGCCAGCTAATATTTACGTTGGGTTCATGTAACAAATCAATTCCAGCTTGCAGTGAAAATAAGCTAGTAAAGCTCATTAAAAATATAGTATAATTAACTATTAATGTGCCTTGTGAACAACCCATTTGATAGTGCGATATCTATCTAGGGAAAGAAAGAAGTCTCTATACAATTTTGCTGTTTAGCACGCCTACCATTGTATTTTAGCTATAGCTGTACGTTAGTGGAAGGGCTCCACAGATCAAGCAAACATAATCGAAGCAAAACCTGTGTACATAACTGATCTCTTAAATTTTAAGGATCGCAGATTCATCTCAACTACGAAGCAAACTACGGTCCCTGCTTCAGGGCGGAAAAAAAAAAAAAAGAGGAGAGTCCGGACCTTACTGGGCCTTTTGTTTTCAAGGCTGGCCCTATTTATGCTCAAGCAATTAGATGAGAGAACACCTTTATATCTGCTTTGATTTTGGAAGACATTTTTTTTTGCCTCTTTAAAGAATGAATTGGATCCGTATTTTATTAAAGAAATTAAGATTACAAAGATGAGCCTACAAATTACAGTAAACATGGTACGACCACCATTGCGAGTTTAGTTATGGCTGTTGATTGGTGGACCTCTTATGGGCTTTGGATATCAAGAAATAGATTGATGGATCTCTTATGGGCTTTGGATATAAAGCAACCTTAGTCCAAGCAAAGCTAGCATATCATATAGGACTAGACTTGTAACTTGTAAGGACGTGACATTATTGAATTTGTACGCACACTTAAATTCCAACTTCATGCAGTAAAAACTACTACCAGTATTATTATTTTCCTTGACATTAGTCTTTTTGGAGGATGCCAAAGTCATCTAAACCTGGAGTTTATGCGTGATACATCGCAGGTCAAAACTCAAAAGCCGAAGAGGCAGAGAGGAGGTTTAGACCTTAGACTAGACTTGGGGCCCACCTTACTGGGCTTTATCATTATGGCCGGCACTTAGAAGCCCCTCGTATTTGCTTCGACCCAGCAAGACACTTGGATCGATTCCATTTCTGCTTGTAAAATCTTTCAGTCAAAACTCAAAATTACAAAGTGATGATAATCATTTTATTTGTTGGGTTAATGGCTGGTTTTCTTTGTTCTTTCTTTTGTTTTTATCTTATTCTTCTACTCTTTTTCGTTTTAATTTTATCTTTTATATTTAATTTTTATTTTAATCTCGTATTTTTTTTAAAAAAATTAATGTTGTTTTTTTTTTTTTTGGTCTTAATATCATCCATCTCTCTATCTTATTTTTTCGATTTTATTTTATTTTATCAAATTTAAATAAAAAAATTAAAAATAAAATTGAAAAAAATAAAAATATATTTCGCCATTCTCTTTAAAAATTAAACAAAAAACCTCCAGAATAAAAAAATGGGAATAAAAGATGCAGTGTTTTATCTTATTTATTTGGTTATTGGAAGTGTCGCATCTTATGCTTCCGTTCCTCATGACTTCTTCCGCCCTTTATCAATGGTACAGGTTTTTGCGTCAGAGCTCCCAAACAATGGGAATAAATGCAGTGTCTTCTGCAAAAGCAAGCAATGAGATAGTCAGCTGAGTCCCTCCCTATGGGCTCTGGCGCTGCTTTCGCCTTAATAGAATAATTAATTGCTTCACCAGGAACTATCTGTTGATGACGACATTCTTGAATTCAAGAACTCGCTCTTCTTCTGACATATCAATCAATTCTGTTCTGTATCATAGGCTAGCTACCGAATGTTTGGTCACAACAGTAGCTGTGCCTTCTTGCATGATGACTTTTAATGAGTTTAATTTCATGGGATTGGGATCTCTCCATTTTGAGTTACTTAGATTAGCCTAAGATTATTGCTTGCATAATTTTGTTCTATATATGTTCTCAGTTCATCTTTATTTCGATAGATGAGATTCAGTTAGCGTATTTTCTTGAAACTGAAGTGTCATGTTCCACCTCTTTAGTTGCTGACTACAAGCAGTGACGTTTAAAATTTAAAGAGGCATTCGGTGCTGGACGTTTGGAGAATGGCGAATTTTATTTTGAGCACATAATATTTCTAGTTGAACCGGAAAGAATTTAGTCTTAAAAAGTGAATGAATGTTTTGTTTTAGCGTTTTAGTTTATCTAAAAAGTGATATACTCAAAGAAAATAATGGGTCTTCTTATAAATAGTATTTAAGAAAAAATATCTAATCTCGTAGCAATATTCGGCCAGCACAAAAAATCCCAGCAATAAGTTTTTAAAAAGCTCGGATGGCTCTAATCGAGATAGGTTTCGGTTACTTTCACATCATTCTCCACCAATTTGAAATAAATATGCTCATTAAATAAAAGTATGTTCAATCACATCAAACATAACAAAAATGAAATTTCTACTCGAAAACAATAACAAGTCTATTTCAAAGATAGACATATCCAAAAAGATGATGGAGAACATAAAGCACAAAGAAAAAAAAAACAATTAAATCTTGACTTCTACTATGTGCAAATAGATTATCTTTTTCAATATAAAAAAGGTTAACATTCTAAGTTCTAAAACTAATGTGGTATTATATATTTATTCTTAATTAAAAACTAAATATTATTAAATATATTGAGATTAAATATTTCTTTCTGTATACTAATTTAGTTATTAGAAGTTTCTCCAAACATTAGAGAATGATTTGTTTTGTTGTTACACGCTAATAAATTAATAATTCACAAATTAATTCAGCTACACGATAAACTTAAATCATAAATTATCAATCTATTAATAATTATCAAAAGATCATAACCTCATTATACACCACACACACATATATAAAGCATCATCATTATAATATCTCGATGATTAAAACCACAAATGGTATATGATAGTAACAAAATGAGAGGAAGAAATCCCCAACCAGATATTGATGTCGTAATATTTCCAACTTCTAAACAAAAGAAGCAAATATAGAACATCAATCAAGCTCACACAATTGGAGAGGAAAACTATATTACTAAAACGACAGCATCATTATAATATTTCATACTTTTATGGACTAAGCCTGAAGATCTAATTACGGACTGGAAGCGAAAACACCATCAAAATGGCTTCTTTCTTTGTAAAAACAAACATAAAATACTGGTTTTTCACATCCAAGCAAATTTACAACATGTAGATGCATAAACTTCCCATGTATCTATTGTCATCTCATGTACTATAGCAGGTCTAGAGTCTTTAGACAGGCACCAAGTAGTGATATATAATCAATTATATCACAAGGAGTCCTAAATCTACCTACGTGAGTTACTATCTCTTCCCTTTTCTTATTGTTATTTTAGTTGACCTTGCTATGAATCTGAACAAATCCTTTCTCCTCCTCACCAACCTTAATGCGATCCAGAATTTCCGTTTCAGCAATTGATTTGACCAACCATATATTCACTCTCTTAACTTTCTAAACGGCTTATTCAAAAAATTTGAGAGACTTACAAACAAGTGTGGATGCCTCTTTGATTGCCTTCTCTGTAGCCTACATAAAACAAAATCAAAGAATTAGATTTTTAAAAACAATAATTAGAAAACAGAAGCAAATAGTTACTTTCTCGTCCAATTTTGGTTGCTCTAGATTCAATGTAGCCCCCGCCACTAGAGTGGTTTGCTCAACGATAGTTAATAAATGAAGATGATTACGTCTGACAATACTAAATCCTCCGTCTGGCGTACGATCGATGATATCCCTTGGATTTCACCATTGTTTGTAGAATGGTCAATGCTTTAACAAATAGAAAAGAGAATTACGTTATAATCGGTATAAATACATTATAAATATACTAATTTTTAACTTTTTTTCTATCCAGAGTATGAATTTTAATTTTTATTGTTTAAATACATCGGTTTTTTAAAAACCAATAAATCAAATATATTTTTTTAATTTTTTTTAAATTAGTGACATATAAATTACCTTCAAAATATCAAATTATAGTTTTTTTCAATCGAATACAAAAATTTTAATTTTTTATTAAAGTACGCTAATTTTTTTTAATTATCAATTAAGTAATTTTATTAATTTTTTCATTAACTCGATGAAGTGTCAATTACTCTAAAAATACAAAATATCAAATTTATCTTCTTCTTGTCAATAGAAAACTTCCATCAAATTATTATATCATTTTAAATTTTGACAAAGAATTAAAAATATTATTTTTAACTATAAAATTTCAAATTAAATTCAGTTGGGTTTAGGCATAACAAAAACATAAACATGAGGTTTTTATCAAGAAAATTCATTATTTGTGAGCATTTGGAGAGGAAATTCTCTCCAACAAAAAGAAGATAAAATTGTAATTTGACATTCAAGGGATAACGAACACGTTATCAATTAAAAACAAATTGATGAAAGTACTTTATTGATAATTTTTTAAAATTTAATGTAATTAAACAAAAAAAGAAGAAGAAAACTTATGTACTCGGTTGAGAAAAAAAGATAAAATTATAATTTGTTATTATAAAGGTAACAAACATATCATCATTTAATGAAAAAAATTAACAAAAATACTTGATTAATAATTTTAAAAAGTTTATTATACTCAATCAAAAATATATATATATGTATTTGATTGAAAAAGGTTAAAAATTGGTGTACTAAATAATAATAATAATTTTAATTATATACAGATAGAGCTTGCAAATTTTCAATTGAAACGTTTTTTAGTTTTGTGAAACAAGGAACGAGGCTTCTCAAAATGTCAAATTCATTAATTATTAGCTGATGCTGTGGCTTAGAACCATGAGTTACTATTATTTTTTAGGGCCATTATGTGGCCAGCCTTCACAATGAAAGGTCATGAAACTAAATTATTATTTAGTCTTTCGATTTTGAATACAACTATAACTTGATCCTTCAAGTTTAATTAAGAATTTATAACTTAATCTCTTGACTGTGTTGATAAATGTGTGTGTTATTTTGTTATTGTTGAAATTATAAAAAGAGTTGAGGGTGATTAATGACAAAATACAGTAGTGTAATAAATATTAAACATTGTTTAACAACAAAACACAATAAATTTGTTTGAAAAAACATCGGACTAGCGTAATATTCAAGGTAATTGAGAGTCTAATTAATTAACACTAAATCCTTTGAGGATCTTCTTAGAATTGGATCCGAGGTGCATGAGGGTTATGTGTTTAGGTGTCTAGGGTTCGGCTCGAGACTAAATCTAGTAGGCACACATGTCAAGTCTAAAAAAGATTCAAGATGTACGAGTATTATGTTAGGCTTAGGGCTAGACCGATTCTAAAGCATCTAATGGTTTGGTTGAGATGTCTATGGTTGGGTTGAGTTTGGTTCTCTAACTGTTCAAATGGAGCATTAAGATATTTAATTGATAGTCTAATTCTAATAAACACTAAAATATCTGAAAAGTTTATTGTTTATTTGAATAGTTTTTTTTAAGCCAACACCCTTTTTTGGTTTTTTTTTTCTTCTGCTTTTTGTAACCAAGGCCTTTTTTTTTTGCTTTTAGTAATTTTTTTTATTATTTTCTATAAAGGTATTTTCGTGATTTCTTTATAATTTTTTCATTATAGAACTAATTGGCTTATACAGAGTAAGAGGCATGGTTTTAAATAGGGTAACGGTCGCTCTATAACGATAATGAGACATTCCGTTATCGTTATTCAATATTATTTAAATTACAACATCATTTCATAAGAATACTAACAAATAACGACGTTATTGTTATATAACGCTATTATTTGCCGTTATATAATGGCGTTATACATAACAAAAACCAAAACTCTGAAAAAAAAAAAAAAAAAACTCTACCGTAATTAATCACCAGCCCAGATGAAGAATGCAAAAGAATATATGCTTCCACTTCTAAATCTGTTGCAGAGAATACCTCAAAAGAATCTATGCTGAGATTGGTCCCCTCCTTCGTTCTTTGTCCAGCTACTCCGTCATTGAAGATGGAAAGATAGTGAAGTAACCCTAAGGTTCGGTAAAAGAGTAGAGAGACAAATGAAACAAGAAAAAATTGTAGCAGAGATAAAGAGAAGAGGAGAGAGAGAAAGAAAAAAAACATTTTATTTAGTTGAACAAGTTATAAATTGGTCTCTGTAGTTTGGAAAAATAATTTAGTTAGTCCTTCTTGTTTGAAATAACAATTATTTAGTCCATTTTTATACTATTTTTAATTTCTTTTCTTTTTATTTTAAAAAATAGAAAAAATAAATTTATATCATAAAAATATTGATGGAGAAAAAACATTTTATGAAAGAAAATAATACTACATTAAACATGATCAATATTCATCAAAAGATTAAATTATTTAGCTTTCGAAAAAAAACTAATTAGCTCATTTATCTAAACTAAAAGGATTAATTCATAATTTAGTCAATTAAAGTCTCCATTTGTATAGATCTTTGATTTCGTGCATGCAATTGAAATTTGGTTTAATAAGAAGGCATAAATTACACATTAATCCCTTTAGTTTTGATAAATGAATAAATTGATCCTTCTTGTTTCAAAAACCAATCATTTAGTTTTTTTTCATTCATTTTATGTTATTTTTAAATTTGTTTTCCTTTTAGTTTTAAAAATAAATAAACAATAAAAAACTTATATCATGAAAAAATTGATCAAAATAACATTTTATAAAATAAAATAATATTACATTAAATATGATCACTACTAATCAAAAGATTAAATAATTATTTTATTATTTTTTGTGCGATATAATCTATTAGAAGTGTTATTAACTTTTTTTGTAATAAATTTAACTATTTTTGTATAGTTAAAGATGTCATTACTTATTAGTATGTTTAATTAGTAAAACTTTTAAAAACATGCAAATTAAAGTAAATTTATTAGTAGTTGTTAATGTTTTTATGACATCGATTGTCGCGATCGTTATTTTATTATCGTTATAAGCCGCGATCCGCGATCGCATTCGCTTTCATTTTTTCAACCGCGATCGTTATTTAAAATTATAGTAGAGGTCATTCATTTTTTAAATTTTCTATTCCTTTGTTCAAAATTGTCTTTTTGGACGTGTGTCACAATTTTAAAGTCTTTTAAAAAAAATTAAATTAAATCTTAATTCTGGAAACACAAATGCACACCCACCTACCCCCCCAATCAGGTTTAAAAAGATGAGGCATTAAGTGGGGGTGGTGATGAAAAGTCAAGAATAGTTTTTGAACAATTAAGTGAAGTAAAATAATGAACTTAAAGAGTGGAGTATTCAATTAAGTGAAGTAAAAATTAAATTCACCCCATACCACTCATGATTTACGCATAATTGTCTCTTTGATAGCGTAATACTACTAAGGTTGTTATAATTTCTTCATTACAGCATTCTTAGCGGACTAAGAGAGAAGATCCACCATTTTTGGGCGGATTCTACACATGGCCTCCATTGGCTTAACTCTGCACATGAGAGTGTGCATGTTCTCAGTCATGTCAATTTCCTTTCCATCAACCTTCTCCCACTCGAAGAATTGAATCAACGAACCTAATGTCATGGCCATTACTCTCTGTGCTAAGCCCTCGCCAGGACATGCTCTCCTTCCCATTCCAAATGGCATATGCGTGTATGCTTCTGATTTCCAATTTTCAAATCTCTCAGGTTTAAAACTTGTTGGGTCATCCCACAACGTTGGATCTCTATGAATAGCCCACGCATTTGCAAATAAAATTGTACCGGCTGGCACATCATATCCCCCTATGGTACAGTCTGCAGATGACATGTGTGGTGCTAGGAGTGGAACAACTGGGTATAATCGTAAGCTCTCAAGAATGACACTTTGAAGGTAGTGTAGTTTCGAAAAATCTGATTCATCTACCAAATGTTCTTGACCAATTTGAGTGTCCAGTTCTTCTCTAGCTTTCTTTACCACATCTGGATGGTTCAACAGATTGCAAACTGCCCATTCTAAAGATGTACTAAGGGTCCTTGTCCCCGCAAGCAACATTATCTGGAAAAGAATTAGGAATTGTTGACATTTAGAAACTGAAGTACTCAAATATTGCAATTTATGACCTTTAGTACAGAATGTCTTCTGTGTAGTATTCAAGTACAGAATAAATTTTGAGACTAACCAGAATAAGTCCTTTGATAATGTCTTCTGTGTAGTATTCAGGTTGAGAATCCTGCAAAGTAAGCAAATGGTTTATCATGGTATTTCTATCCTTGTCATGTCGATGCTCATCAATGAGTCCTTGCAAGATCAAATCCATTCTCTTACTGAGCCCAACACACTTCTTCACAAATCCATTATAATCAACATACTGAAAAATGGGAAACACGTCTGCTAGATTTGTCAACCCACCAAGGTTGGCATACTCCTGCATAGTCTCTTTAAACCTGTTTGCCTCTTCCATTAAATTCACATCTTCACCATAATACCGCTTCCCTGCAATCATTCTCATTACAATATTAAATGTCAAGTCTGTAAACATAGACCTTAACTCCACCTTAGCAAAGCCATGGTTAGAAACCTGCTGAAGTCTGCATGCTAATTGCTTGATTTCGTCTCTTCGGATGCTTAAAAAAGAGTTGAGGCGAGCCGATGAGAAGATTTCAATTGCGCATATGCGGCGAAGGTTACGCCAGTGGTCACCATAATTGGCTGAAGCAACTGTAGTGAAGTTGTAATGCAAATGCTTGCCATTTAAAAATGGAGGGCGGTTAGCGAAGGTAATGTCATTCTTAGTGAAGCATTCTTCGGCAAGTGATGGAGAGGATACAAGGATTACAGAGCGGGAACCAAATCTAAGAAAGACGATTGGGCCATATTTTCTTGAAAGATTTTCGAGAGTTCGATGGATGGGTTGTTTGAGAAGATGAAGATGGCCAATAATTGGAATAGCTGGTGGGCTTGGTGGGAGATTCTTGCGTTTTTTTCCTGTTTTTAGCAAGAACTTAACGGCAAGAACCAGTATGACAAATCCGACGAGTGAGTATTGATAGGTGTCTTCCATGATTCGTTTATGTCTTATTCCTATGCATTCAATCTGATGGGTTCTACTGGTATTTAAGTTGGGTTTATTAGTTGTAAGTTTTGACTTTGAATTTTTTCTTTTCCGTCATTTTTGACTAGGTTTGCTTATGAAAAGTGTTTCATAGTTACCCAGATGAATATTCAAGGTCAGGAAGAGTCATCCCCAGATGAAATGGACGTTACGTGATTGGGTACCTATGAAACACTTGTCATAAGCAAACCTAGTCAAAAATGACGGAAATGAAAAAACTCGAATTTATTTTTCAAATGGGATTCAACATCCTGAAATATATATATTTTTTTTATTTAAAAGATTCAACCGTATGTTATGTGACATCTTAAATCAGTTTTGCTCTGTCTTAATTTAGTGGGTTTTAATTTTAAGATCAATATCATAAAAAAAATTTTCATCTAAATACATCCTGTAGACATAAAAACTCTATTTTCAAATTATTTGAAACGAAAACTTAATCTTTATTAATGTTTAAAATCTACAAATACTTGAGACCTTTTCAACTAAAAAAATAAATCCAATGTTTTAATAACCAAATATCAATTCTATCAAAAGAACTTAGGAGACTTTCTAATCAGAATTGATGTGGAGTACAGAAAACAATATATGTTGTATGAGAAGTTTTAATACAATGTTAACACTTCTACATTTTTCAATGAATTTTTCTCCTTTAATTTTTAGTTTGGGATGCGTTTTGTCAAACATTAATTTAGTATATTTTTTGAGCCACCGAGTGAGATTGGTTTGCAATTGGGGACTACAACCGGTTTTATGGCACGCCAACTCCAGTTTCCACCTCAATTTCATATTCGATCGCATCCCCTATATGCGGATCAGAGGATTATGATATATCTATTGTATTTGTGGTGGTTTGGTATTGTCAACTTTCTTGTTAAGACTAAATCTTTTGAGAATCTTCTTAGAATTGGATCCAAGATGCTTGGGGACTATATGTTTAGGAGTTTAGCGTTCGATCCGAGATTAAGTTTAGTAAACACACATGTCAAGTCTAAAAAAGATTCAAGATGTACAAGTATTATGTTAGGATTAGGGCTAGATCGATTCTAAAGCATCTAATGGTTTGATTGAAATGTTTATGTTTGGGTTGAGTTTGGCTTTCTAATAGTTCAGACGGAGACAAGTTTGAGAGTAGCGTGGAGTGAGGTTCTGTGCGTTAGGGCTGGAGAAATAAAGATCAGGTTCATGATGTCTGAGAATCGAACCGAGATGAAGCCCAAAATGCTTGGGATCGGGTCAAGGTCGATTTCGATGCACTTAGGGTTTGACTTTGGCCAGAGCTGGGTCATTTAAAGGTCGAGTGCAAAATGGATTAGGGACAAGACAGGACGACCCAAGCTCGTAAAACATGAGCATAAATCTTGATAACCCGAGTGTAAAACTAAGTCTAATATATATATATATATATATATATTCAACCAAATAAGTTTTTATTGATGAGAAAATGAAAATAAAAAAACAGAAAATGAAAAAGATACCGAACAATCTTTAATTGATTTTACGCTAATTTGTAATAGGATCTCTAATATTTGATACTTGATATGATGATCCGTGAATAGAAAGTAAGAGAAAGGAGGAGCACAAGAGGGGGTGGGGGAGGTTAAAAGTGTTTATTTCAAAGGTGAGCTATCTAGTTTTTGTGTCAGTAGATTGGATTCAAAGAAATTATTTTCAGTGGTCTTTGTTTTAATTTCTAAAAATCTAAAATTGGATTTAAATTTTAATTTCTCTCTTTGTTTTTTTTTTTTAACACAAACACAAATGTTTTCTAAAAGTTATGGGGATGCTGAATTTGGATGTGTTTATAGGTTGAAAATAAGTGTAAAAGAAGGTTTGATGAAAGCGTGATTCGACATGTTATGTAGAGCGTAGCTTACCCAAAAAAGAGGTTATAAAAACAATCTATATTCCCATAAGAGATACGTCTTTCACATAAATTTTCTCTCTTTCTTTTTGTATTTTTATTTTTTAAAAGGAAAAATCATTTTATGGGTGTTAAACTAAATGAGAGAGTAGACCCAAGCACATGGCCGAATCTTATGTTTTTTTTTTTAAAAAAAAATTACATTTTTTTATTTTCAAGTTATTATCCAAAAGTAATTTTTATTTTTGCCTTTTCTTACACAACCTTATAAAACTGTTTATGATGTAATTTAAGTAATGTAAATCCTTACAGTGAAGTTGAATTAGACATTAGGCGGCATACATGTGGTGCAAAAATAGAAATCTCTTTTTTATTGAAAAGGGATCGCTAAAATAAAATATAGGAAACTAATGAAAAATATCGCAGTAAACAACGCGAGACTTATCAATAATAATAAAAATTTGCTCACTAATGGTTTTTAGTTAAAAAAGAAAAGGAGAGTGTATTCCAACGTCTTTCATTTATATTCATTTTTGGACTATGTGGTCTCCCGGACAACAAGCATTCAACAGTTAAGTTCCTTATTCAGCCTTATTTTAAGATCAAGCACAACTAACTACACAAGATTCCAAAATGTCATCATAGCATTATTTTTTACATAATATGATAATGGAATTTACCATGATTAGTTGTATTTAGCAAGAATTCTTTATGACGACTATGTCTTGTTTTGCGATTCGAAGACGAACCCTGTTGGTCTTAGAAAGACTGCCGATCAAGGCTAGCTGGCAACCCAATTGGCAAATCCTATCTGGGACATAGTTGAGTAATTTTAACCCACGTAAAATATCATACTACGTTCCTTGTTTTACTTCATTTTGATTGCACCATGAATTACTTTAACATCAAAATCACCATGATTAAGCTTTATTCTTCAATAATAGAGTTTTGTAGGTGCCACAGCAAATGATCTTACATCGGGGACCAAAATTAAAGCAGTAATGCAGTAATTATTCTTTCAAGCATCGAGAGTCAGGGCCCCAAAACCAGAGTGGCTTTTAATCCTCACCACTAAAGATTAAAAGAGAAGACTTTTTGCATGTAGCTGCCTTTTCTCTTTTATCAGATCCCTATTGAAGTTTCATTTTTTTACATGTTCTGTGTTGGCCTCACGCCCACATAAAGTTGAGACACCAGAAACCCATGTACCGAGCCACCAGCTTCCAAAGATAGTAGGGACCGATCACTTAAAGCCAATGGTTGCCTTTGACCTTGGTGGCTTGATTCTATGATTGTATGCATTGGAGTTTTCCAGCCATCATATGCTGGCTATGATAGCAGTCTTTCATTCACATTTACCATCATTCATGTCTTTATATACTAATAGTACTACTATGGGCTAATCTAATCACTGCTGTTTCAATCATTCTGGCCTGGGGCAAAATACAGGCCTGTCGTTAGTGGTCCTCTAGTCCTTAACTGGTTAAATTATACAGGATGGTTTGGTAATATATATTCTAATTAATCTCATCAATTCAAGGGCACAATAAAAGAGTGGAACAAAACTGAGTGTTTATTTAAGGGAAAAAAAATCAGAAATGCTAGATTTTGAAAAATAAAATTCGGTGAAGAGAGATCAGGATGATTACGTGGCTGCAATGGATTAGCCTAAAGAGAGAGGCAGTACAATCATTTTGGTGGCATGACAATCACCTTAAATTCATCATCAAAAGCTCCCACTCTGAAAAGCCTTTAAAGCCACTCAAATCGTGCACTTTTTAGGGGAAGACACAGATGGATGGGTGTCTTTATGCGAAGAAATCAGGAAATGACTTATGGGTTACAGCTCTTATGGAATCCGGAGCAAAATCATCACAACCCCTTATGCTGGTAACAATATTTTGCCACTAAACCAAGACCACACCAATCAACGAATGAAACTGGAACCACCATTTTAATATCTATATTTGAAATTAGTTTCTGTGGAAGATCTTTTACTTATGCCCCATTATGATTCCATTGGTCTCTTGGCATTGACTTATGAAAATTTTTCTTTTTAGGATGAGCATGGTCCATGGATCCACCTTTACCTTTTTTTCGCTCTTTCACAGTCCTTCAGCAATAAATCATCCCCAGCCCAAACTATTGTTTCCACTCATCACACTTTTTAACTGTGAAAGTCTAATAAATTGATAATCAAACAATTAACTCATGCATTAGAGGGGCTTAAAGCAGCTGGCTTTTTGTTCAAGAGAACTATAGATCTTGTAACATCTTATGGTTATCCCGATTTATCATTTATCCAAAAAAAAGAGGAAGAATTGGAACAAGAAAAAATCTCATGTTGTTCTTGGTGCAAGAAATATAGCGAAAGCATCAATGATCGAAATTACAAGAGGGAAATGTCGGTACTTTAGGTAGGACCTAATGTTTTGTTCTGTAATGAAAGAATGGTTGTCCTGGTGGCAGAGACGTCTAAAAGAGGTTGGATTTATTGCTGAAGGACTGTGAAAGACAGCAATGCTGTCCAATGTCAACACAAGGGAGAAATCATCTCTGCTAGAAGATTTTGTCACTATACTCTCTGCTTCCATCGGCTAATTAATTAATTGATTACGGGCATAGGTTTTTTTTTTTAATAAAAATAAATTAAACAATCGATCCCAGGCATATTACCCTTTGCTGGATGTATAATCTTTTTTTCTTCTTTTTTCTGGTAACAGAGCCTTTGCAGCTGGCCGCAAATTATTAATTTTTTTTCATATAGTGATTCCAGTATATATAGATAAGTACTACTTATTTTGTCCAGAAATTTGTTGTTACATTATCACATTATTGAGATTATGAAGTTATTCAAGAAAATGATTGAGCTCACGATGTAAACCCATTCAATTAACCTATATAAATATATATTAAAATCAAGAAAGTTATAAATTTGCGTTCAAGATTGACATTTCATCTGCCAATAGATTAGGTCGCTGTGATGTGTCCAAGAATCGTTTTCTTTTATTTGTGAATTAGTCAAACTTCCATTCATAAATTGGGAGAGAGACAGAATCTCCTATAGATGACACAGAAATAGTATATAAAAGATGTAAAAGAGGTCCTGATCGTGTGAGATTGGTGTCTCCATCCAATTTTATTTCAAAATAATTACTTTTTCAGAAAGAAATAAATTAAAAAAAAAACTTGTCCTATTAGCCAGCTATGGTGGTTTGGATACCGATCCAGTTTTCCTTTTTCTCTTCACATAAGGCGAAATTATTCGAATAAAAAATCCTAAATTTTCACAGCTGGACATATTGTTTTTCCATCCATGCTTGCTATTTTAGCCGGCTGAAAATAACGTATACGTTATATCATACCTTGAAGTGTCTCCTTGTTGTATTAGAGATTCTTTACCAAAATTTCTCCATTAAACTCTCTATTAATAAAAAATACTGTAATTATAATAATAATAATAGGATATTGTTAAATTTACAAACCAATTTGTTATTTTTACTATTTTCTTTTCAAAAACTATCAATACATCTTTTATTAATTATCAATAACTATTATATAATAAATATTAATAAAAAACGTATTAATAATTTTTTTTAAAAAAATTTATGACAATAACATTTTGGTTGATAAATTTACCAGCACTCATAATAATAACAGCAAATAACAATAACAGTGGATTTGAATGATCTTTCACCCCAAACACAGAGCTTCGGTTGATGGGCTTAATGGGAGCTTATTATAATGAAGAATGATGAATATTTGACATGCATAATTAAGGTCTAAGCTGATAATTAAGGTCTTTTATAATCTTACCGTGCACGAAAACCACGGTGTAGTCACTATCACCTAAGTGATGCTTCTAATTCAATTGCAATTGCACGAGCCAGGAGTAGCATTGCAGTTGTACTACCTAAAAGTTGGGCATAATTGTCCAAATCAAGCCGAATTGGGTTGTCCCATTCCATAATCAGAAACCTCTAACCTAATTATCAAAGAACTAAACCATAGTGCTTGAGTTTGTAGCGTAGTGGAACGAGGGCTTATCCTCTGAGGATCACACGGATTCGACTCTCTCTACGTACGCTTGTCACTATCACGATGCCTTACATGCCTACTCGAACTTGCAGGGTGTTCAATGACATCCGAGGATTAGTCGAGGTGCGCGTAAGCTGCTCGGACATCCCTGGATTACTTAAAAAAAAAAAAAACTAAACCACAATCCCAACTAAAGATTAACCAAGATTAGATAGGCTTGAATTGTTAAACATGTAATTAGGGTACCTAATTAGTCACTTGGCACGTGGTCATGGGTAATATGTCCATTTCATTTTTTAAATTACCTAAAAATCCACCTCCCATCACGAGTAATAGCTTCCCACCCTTAATTCCCACCCATTCCATGCAGATGTGTATATCGTTTCCTTTCACGGTATTAATATTATTATAATACAATACAGAAATCTCTCTGTCTCCCTCGTTTCACATTCTGAGGATTTTAATGTCCATGGACACATGCATGGAGGTAGATTTGAGCGGTGGATAAGGCGAAAGCTTAACAAGAATGCCAGACATTGCACGCTACGGTGGGATAACTCCTTTCTTTAATATTATCTTCTTCTTCTTGTTTTTTTTTTGGGTGTTGGGGGGGGGGGGGGGGGGGGTGGTGGTGGTTTGATATAACACCAGCACATCAAAGCAAGAAAATAATGGGACCAATAAAAGAAAAAGGAAATCAAGAAATCACGAAAAGTAAGTGTATAATTCTGCATTTGAAACAAGGAAATAATCGAAGCATTGCCGTTACAGGAAAAGTTCCACGTGACAGCAAGCAAGCGAAATTTATTCTTTTGATTTTGGACAAAAATGGTTTTGTACTATTACCGTTCTCTTTTACCCAAACGAGATGCTGGAGTGAAATTGAATTCATCAAACCTGATCCTCCACAAGCTTAATTTTTTTTTTTAATTACCTTGCCAAAATTTCCATCTTTTAATTTCGTGGAGAACATGTTCACATTGTTCCTTTTTTGTTTTGTCAGACAAAGAAAGGGAACTGAGAAGAAACTAGTGAATTCACTATCCTTTTTTTTTATTATTTTTAAATCATTGCTGTATGAACTTGTTTTTAAGAATATGAAATTAGCAAGGATGAGATAATTTTTTTTTTAAGAAGCTAATTGTTCTCAATTATTTTAGATGGTAATAGACGGACTTTAAATTTAAAAATTTTAAATTTCTCACGCTCACACTCTTAAAAAGAAAAAAATAAATGACTATAAAAATATTTAAAAAATAAGATTTGAATCTGAATTTGTCATTACAAACTCAAAACTCCTATCATTAAACTTTTTATTGGTATTAAAAAAGAAAATGAATAAAAACATATTAAATGATCAAAACCCGCAAGTCTGGAAGACCTAGACGGAATAAAAATTTCTTGGAACAAGAAAACGTTTAGTTGGCAAACACGTGCTAGATGCAGCTTTTGCATTAAAATACTAACCCAACAATGAAAAATTTTATAATACATCGAAGTAATTAATAGCATATATAATAGCTTATTTTATATATAAAAATAGAAATTATATCTATATCCATTAAAAGTGTTAAGAAGATTTTCACGTCTACTTAAATTTTTTTATTTTCTCTTTCTTATTTCTTTTTTTATATGTCTATCTCTCTTCTTAAAATAAACTCATAAAATAATTAATATATATATCATTAATTATTACTGATGTATTATAAAATTTCTCGCCTAGCAATAGCCTAATTTATATTACCACATTTCATTTAAAACAACGAGTGCACTCCTAAAATTAGCCAATCAAGTTCTCGTCACAACAATAACTCACTCTACTTTAAGAGTCAACCCTTCGTTACAGATCGTAACAATTTCAAGAAATCTGGATATTTTGGTAATATATACACCATAATCCTGGGACATCTTAGGTATAGAACAAGAAAAGGCCAGTAACTAAAAGAATGCTGGAAATAGAGGCTTCACGTTATTTCATGATGACGCAGAGAGAGCCCACAGTGCGTGTGTGCTGTGCTTTTAGCCTTTAGTCTTTTTCGTACGGCGCTACATTGCGCCCAGATGCTCATATCCTTTTTGTAAAGTTTTTTTCTCTAAAGATTTAGCGATGATGAGGGTATTTCTAGGATCAGCCTCTCTCGCCTCGCATGCTGGTCTTTCTGTACCAAAATATTTGGAGACATGTGCATTTATATTGAGCCAAAATCTTAGAGTATTGCTGTGAATCGAGGTGGAATGAAGAGAGAAATTTTATGATATTCAGAAAGTAATTAATAATATCTATAATTATTATTTTATTTTTTTTAAAAAAGAGATAGATCTATTAAAAAAAATAACAGAGAGAAAATAAAAAAAATTAAATCAACATGAAAATTTTTTTTATTATTTTTTGAGGATTCGAAAGTAATTCTTTTTTTTTATGTGTTTTTTTTCTCAAAATGAATAATGAAATAATTACTATATATGTCATTAATTATTTTTCGATTATTATAAAATTTTACAAATAAAGCTAGTCGAAAGTAAAAAATGCCATCTTAATATATTAAGAAGTAAATGACAAGATTTATATCTGTAAATTTTGACCAAAATATGTTTTTTTTTTGCCTAATAACTTAAAAAAGGTCTTGAATCGACCCTGTACTAAGAGCTAATCTTTGCGCTTTATTATCAAATGTTCAAATCGATCCCGAAACAAATTATTTATGCCTAACATGTACAAATTTTAATAATAATATAGAAGGTTGAGAAATTTGCTCGAGGAGCCATTTTGCAAAGCTGGCCACCTCATTTCACTTTAGACAGTCCCATAAACATTTACGTACATAGACACCTCACCTCACCCCACCCCATCTCTCTCCTTTTCTCTTTCTCTATTTCTCCTTTTAAATAATGTTAATACTTAGCACACAAGAAGATACAGCAGTTTAAACACTCAATCTCTTTGGCTGCCTGTCTCTGTTTCCACTCCGTCTTTATCAATCTAATTATTAAGTCCCTTGTCTATAAACACATGGAGAGTTAGTTCTATTCATTGGTTTTTAACTCGGCCTCGAATCTGGTTAGTGGTGAATTCACTTCACTGTGATCGAGGAACGCGGATATTTTAAGTGATACTTGACTTTTAAGGCATTGAAGTTTCTTGGTATTTTCGAGGAATGAACTTTCTGTAAAGGTATATATATGAATCTGGTGATGGACCTCTGTTTTATAAATGCTATTCATTCAATATGGAGATGGAGTCCCTGCTTTCTTTTTTCTTTTGTCGCTCTGTTCTGTGATGTTATTTTTAATGAAGTTGTTGAATTGGGTTCTTTTATGAAGGGCTTACAGATTTAAAGAAGAATAAAGATGACTACTAGAGTGAGAACTAGGCTACAGTCCATGAAAGCTCCAATGAAGCATGAAAAAGTAAGCACTTAATCAATGCTTAAACTGGGTCATTTGATCTCTTTAATTGCTTATTTTATTATTTATTTTGAGTAACGGTTTGTTCTGTAGATATGGTCTATCTCTATCTATCCAAAGTCTAAAACTTGAGTAAGTCTAGCTAGTAACTTTTTGGATATGGGGCGATATAGCTTTTGCCAGAAAATATGGCTTCAGTTTCAATGAGGAGGATCCAAAAGTCGAAAACTCCAGGAAAGTCTTTTAAAGTGTGCTTATTTGATGAGAATCTGAATTGGATTTTCAGTCAAATCTATCATAGAGAAGAGGAAGAGATATTGTCTTGCTTAATCTTTTTAAAAGTATGGATTTCTGATTAGGCCTGTAAATCTGATACCTTCGCAAAATTCTTTTCAGTATTTGAAACTTCTTTGAACATTCTGTCATCCACTATTCTTCTTTGATGATTTTTATGACATGTTCTAGTGAGCTTTCTTTTGTTTTATGCTCTTTGGTTTTTTCTTCACTCTCGTCTGCGTAGTTTATTTTCTCCTTTTCAGTTGAGAAAATCTGATTGTTTTGGAATTTTTATTTAAATCTACTTTCTTGAAGGAGAAGTTTGAAATGCAAGGGAGCAAACCAAATGTTGCAAGAAAAGCAGCCAAAAATAGGCAAGCCTCAAGTAGAGAGAGGAAAATAGCATTGCAACAAGATGTATGATCATGTTATCTTATTATTTCTTTCCTTCAATAATTCAAAATGGATCAATAAATTTTGTGTTTTTCCTTTTCCATTTGATGTTGTCCTGTCTTCAATGGAAGCATTGCTTGAAAAAGACCTTTTTTGTATATTAATTATTATGTTGGCAATCCCAATTATTCAGGTTGATAAACTAAAGAAGCAACTCACGCATGAAGAAAATATTCACAGAGCTTTGGAGAGGGCTTTCAGCAGACCGTTGGGAGCTCTACCTCGCCTTCCTCCGTATCTCCCTCGTACTGTTAGTAATTCATCATCCTTTCATATGCTTTCCATTCAAATTCCTTTAGTGTTGTAGTTTAATTGTAAAACGAATAGTATTACTATGAAGTATGCACTTATTATAGGCATAGCAATTGGAGTTGAATAAGAAACGCGGAAGAAGTTAATTGAAAGACGTGAGGGAAGAAACAGAGCAAGGGACCCAATTTCAAATGATATTTCAATGCTCAATTAATGAACTTCAGAAAAACTAATAAACTTGAATAGTTGCCTGACCATTGCATATTATCAACGCATGAGTTTGATTCTGGATTTTAGTTTCTGTAGACGATGGAGCTTCTTGCAGAAGTAGCTGTTTTGGAAGAGGAGGTGGCTCGGCTTGAAGAACAAGTTGTCCATTTTAGGCAGGACTTGTACCAAGAGGCCGTTTATATGTCAAGCTCCAAGCGGAACATGGAAAGCTTTTCCGATTTATATCAATTGTACCCAAATAAGAATCCCAAGCCAGATCAGTCGAAGTCCTTAGCTCAGAATTTGGATGAATCAGCCACGTCCATGATAAGGCATTTGCCATCCCTTTCTGGTATGCAGGATGTTTGATACAATCATCATATGATACGTTGCATAAGCATATGGAGGCATTTGCCATCCCTCACGTCTTAATTCTCCTTCACTGTTCTTTTAGCAGATGGAACGGATAAAGAGAATGCATTCTCTAATTCACATTCTATGAAGAACAATAAAGGATCCAGAATCCATAAAGCTCAGACAAGCAGAAATATGGTGAAAATACTTGCTGAGGACAATAGACCAGCAGAGAAGAAATTAGATTCTCATAAGTTACAGGTCTGCATTATGTAATAATACCAACAATTTTCATCATGACGTCTCGATTTTATTAACAGCTAAATGAACCAGAATACATCAATGTCCAGCTAGAACGCAGGGTGACAGACCAAGAAAATGCGGAAGCAACAAGTCTTGTTACTCCAGGTGAAAGGCAATCTGGAGATGACAGCCCAAACAAGGTGTCTGAGGACATCGTGAGATGCTTGTCAAGTATTTTCTTACGAATGAGCTCAGTGAAGAATAGGCGTACTCCAGATAATTTACCTTTCTTGTCAACATTAGTCTCTCAAGAAAACGGGGAAGAAACAGAATGTCGGGATCCTTATGGTATATGTTCAGAATTTGGGACGAGAGATATTGGTCCATATAAGCGTTTGTTTTCAATAGAAGCTGGGACGATTAATCCCAACCGAACATCAAATTCTTTGTTTCTACTCCATAGACTTAAGTGAGTTTTAAGTAATTTGATTGATTTCATGCATTAATTTCATTACATCAACAACACTCGTCTGATTTATGGTCCATTTATTTTCTGAACCGTCAGACTTCTATTTGGGAAACTTGCTACCGTCAACTTGCAGAACTTCACCCATCAGGAGAAACTTGCATTCTGGATAAATAATTACAATGCCTGCATGATGAACGTAAGTGACACCTCTTTTTATAAAATGTCAACAATTTCTTTCTGTCAAGTTCCAAATTATTTTGGTAACTCTGAATCTGACCATCATAGTCTTTTCCGTTGGATTTAATTCATGCCCTTAAGCTTTTTTTTAGGGTAACCATTTCAAGTATTGACGTAAATAATTTCTACCATGTCATATTGCATCAGGCATTTCTAGAACATGGCATCCCTGAAAGTCCCGAGATGGTTGTTGAGCTGATGAGAAAGGTATGGACTATCCAGGAACTTCCCTTTATGATATACTATTCTGTTGTGCTTTAACTGATAGCAGATGAATGGTGATAAATTTTTCGCTTCTATATCTTATTATTTAGGCAACAATAAATATCGGGGGAAACCTGTTAAATGCAATGACGATTGAACATTTCATCCTTAGACTGCCTTATTACTCAAAATATGTAAGTCGTACCCATTTCAACTTCCATGAAATCGTTTTCAGAAAATTAGAGACTTTCTCAGCATGTCATTTACTCCTGAGTTTTGATCAGACAATTTCGAAGGGTGCAAAAAATGATGAAATGGCAGCGAGGAACAAATTTGGATTGGAGTTATCTGAACCATTGGTATCATTTGCCCTTTGCTGTGGAAGCTGGTCCTCCCCTGCTGTAAGTTTATTCACAATGTCGATATGTTTGATAATATCCACCTTCAGTCCAAAGTGTAATGTTATTATGAATGACCAATATTATTGTATACAAAAAAAATTAATAAGCTCTAGAACATTTCTGCTAGTGTTATACATTCGTGCTTATTTCCAAACTATTTACTTGTGGAATCTCTAGACAATTGGCTTCTTGGCCATCATCTCGTTAGATTTTCAATCATTTCTTGGTCCAATGAGGACGGTAGGTTCCATCAAATTACTGATCTGTAAACTTTTTGAAATGAAGGTGAGAGTGTACACTGCAGCTCAGGTTGAGAACGAACTGGAAGAGGCAAAAAGAGAGTACTTACAGGCTGCAATTGGAATTACAACGAAGAAGTTTGCAATCCCTAAGTTATTAGATTGGTATTTACTTGACTTTGCCAAGGACTTGGAGTCATTGCTTGATTGGATCTGCCTTCAGTTACCCAGTGAACTAGGGAAAGAAGCTATTAATTGCCTTGAGAGAGGTAAAAATGAGCCTGATTCCCATTTTGTCCAAGTTATGCCATATGAGTTCAGTTTTAGGTACCTTTTGTACACAAAATAAAATAATATTAATAATAATAATTCATTACAATTATGGAGAGTTGGGAGACTAAGTTTTGTACAGAGCTGTAGGATATGATATCAAATTCTAATGTATAATTTAGTTTCGTTGTAAGTATTTGTAAGAAAATTTATCTTTTTCGTTAAAAGATTCTGCAGATAAGGTACATGTGGAAGGGTTATAAATAATAAAATGATAGAAGGTAATTTCTTGATACATCTTTCTATTCTTGCCTTCTTAGCATTTCAACTTTAGTAACTATCTCACTACATGGGGCCTGAAAGACCTATATATTTGGCATTTGGAAGAATGGGTTTTAAATTACTGACCGGATGAGTTATGATCTGACTTTACTTACTTGCACGGTATTAAATCTGTTTACTTTTTGTGTAATTAATTGCCTACTGCACTGAAAATGAAAGCAAAATGACAATTCCATTAAAGAATATTAGGTGTAAACACTGGCAGGCAATTTCTCTGTCTGGCATGCTAATTAATGAATCTCTATGCATACCACTAAATATAATTGCATTTGCAGACATTCAAAGAAAGCTATTATTGAGCTGACCTATCCCCTAATGCGTGTGGTCCAAATGAAAGCAGGGCAAATTTCCTATAGCGTTAGCCATTTTAATCAATGGTTTGGCACGGTTTGGTGCTATTTCCACACTCCTCTTGTGGCAGCTTTCCTGATCAGTTAGCAGAACAATCAATGTTTCGTGCAACAATTGAAGTGCCTGATCACCACAAGCTTATTTATGAATTTGGATCGTAGACATTAATTTGATGGAATTTATCTTCAACCAACTTAATTCGCAGAGAAATGTCTTATTTAAATTTTGTCATGTTTTCTTGACAAACTATGAAATTGGGGACAATTAATCTCATCATAATAAACCGATCAAAGTAAATACTTACAGTTGTATGAATCAATGATCTAACTAGAACATCTCAAGAAAAAACCAATCTAATTAGAACTGGGGTTAAATTTCACCTTCGCTTAATTGGGTTGGGGGCTTGATGGAATCTAGATTTTGTCCCATGCAAGAATAAAAAAATTTACCCATGCAAGTGGGTGATCCAAAGTTAATTCCTTTATGACATGGGGTCAAGTCTGCCAGCCAATAGAACAAAGTGCTTTTTCAAAGTGATTACTTCTAAAAGCTAAAGCATGAATCTGGTGGTTCTCGCACTTGAAAATTACGCTTTTATCTTCTATGATAAGAGAGCATCGGCCAAAAATGATGTCGAGATTTTCAATTGGTATGTATGGTACAGTCTCCAGATGATGTATATCATTATATAATCTCTGATAGATTAAGAGACTCTTTTTGGATGAGTGTTTAAGAAAACATGATTATATTTGAGACGTAAACGAAAAAAAAAAAATCCTCTTAAATCATTGTTATAAGTGTTTCAAACAGTTACTTCTGATAACAAATTCAGTTCAAATGACTAAATCAAATCATATCACATGTACCATATCTCTCAAATTATATATTGTCTGAGTAGTGTCAACATGATGTCATCATATTCTTCCAGCTATGAAATGTCAATATCAAAAATATTTATTTTTTAAATAAATATCAAATGCCCTTGGTAAAAAAAAAAAAAACTATACTGTTATTTTTTTTAAGCAATGTGACAAAATTCGTGATTATATAAATCTCTCTGCTTGCCATTGTTATTTTTTTTTATCTCTTTTTAAAACTTTTTCAGGTCATCATTTTCCACTACATACTGACTTAATCATCCAAAAGTTTTCTAACCTATTAAAAAGATTTATTTTGCAAGAATTCCGACTAATTTGAACTCTATTCACTGTCAAAGTTCACAATTGCACTAGTTAAAGACAAACCGTCTCGTCACACATCATCTTTTAAGGTTCAAGAACTCATCGGAAAGCTAGTAAAATTGGTATTGGATTTCACTATAGAAAATTAGGTGAGGATGAGAAGTTGAAGGGGTAAGGTTCCAGCTCTTCTTTACTCAATTTCAATTGTCGGTTGGTCTCTTTTTAGGATACAAAGTTGGAATTTCGAGATGATATGATAACTTAATAAGACACAGAAAAAAGGTCAACATTTTTTTTATTGGTATAAAAGAAAACAGAAATTTGTATGTTCAACAGGTAAATCTTTCAATTTGAGTGATTAAATTTTAATTATTTTTTTTGGTTTGAATGCGTACAATAACTTAAGATTAGAATACATTTCGAAATAAACTATAATGTGATAATTTTTAACTAAGACATAATAAAAAAACAACTCTCACTTAGATTATTCAGGAAAAAAATGATTTGAGTGCTTAACTTTTAATTATTTTTCAGTTTGAATACCCAACATTTAATTTTTTTTTATTTGAGTTTTTTTAGTCACTTGAGATAGAAAATATCGACATGAAAGTTATACACTGTGACAAAAAAAAAATTGATTTCACTCATATTTGTCGAGGAAAAAAAAGAATAATAAATTTTTTATAAAAGAAAATACTGGCAAGAATTAAAGAAAAAAATCAAAATCAATTACTGTTAGTAAAATGAACTCAATTTTTTTAGATGATCCAAAACTCTTGGATCAGACAAAAAAAATGTTTAGATGATGATATTTTGAAAGTATTTTAAGAAATAGTCAACAAACTTGCTGAATTCTTTCGATTAAAAATAATAATTATTTATTTTTAATTATTTCTAGCTATTTTTTTAAAGCATTATTTTTTTCTCAATAAATTCATGTGATATTTACTTTTTACCGTGTGTCGGTTAAAGACTATCGGGTATTAGGGGATCCCGATCAGATCAATATATTTCAATCTTAGATGACTAAATAAACTCAAAAGAAAAAATTCAAAATTTGGATACTCAAACAGAAAAATAATCAAAATTCAAAGACTCAAATTTTAGATTTCTCAAAAAAAAATTGAATTTTTTCCCTGAATAATCCAAATGAGATCGGCTTTTTGTTACTTATCAACTAAAAACTGTCATGTGGTAATTTATTCTAAACACATCAGTATTTTCTAGTTTTAGATAATTGTAAATTCTCAAATAAATTTTTTTACAGATTGAATACTCAAATAAAATGAAAAATGGGCACTCAAATTCTACTTTTCTCTTAAAGGTATAGGAGGATGAGTTGCATTAAAAAGGCCTAATGGCTAGAACATATTGGGCAACCCTGGGCCAGGATTGGCAGTGGTGCACTGGGTCTATTATGTCCATTCCTATTGGTCTTTTTCAATATCATTTACAGTTCAAGGAAAGCGAGGTAATCTTGGGCCTAGGTTGGCTAAACCTTGGGTCATTTTTCTTTCCTTTAAAAGCCTGGGGCGTCTTGGTGGACTGAGCATCTGTAACCTAACCTTGTTCAAAAGTCACCCCCACCACCCATCCCTCACTTCGGCAAAGGGACAACAATGGGTTGGGAACAAAAAAAAACCTTATCCCCAACCCATCTTTGATCAGGTCGTTTGAAAATCTGGTGTTTTTTGGACAAGGATGGCAGACATTTGCTTAGTGGGTCCAAATTTCCATCTATTTAGAGGGGATTGCCTAGAACCTAGTGGAATTCGCTTTGCGAAATCAAAATGGGACAAAGCTACACTAGTCCTGGATTTAATGCCGAGTTTTAAAACCTAATTAATTAAACTCGTTTACGTGCAACATAAAAATAACTATATTAGCAAGACGGTTACTCAAAATTTTAGTTAAAACACTTTTAGATTCTAAAAAAAAACCGACGTTTTTGTACAAATATAGATTTTTTTTTTTTTTTTTGCTGTATTGCATGACAAGTAAATTTTCCAACTGAATGATTTTAAATTAATAAACCGGAACTAGTGTAGAAAAACTCGAGACGAGGAATTGCCAATAGCCTTAAAAAACAAAGGGTGAAACTTCAATGTCCTCGTTAAAGATGGGTAATGGGCTAGGCCCTGAATCATCAATTTCCAGCTTATATAGGTATGACTCTATCTTGAGACCGAAAAAGATTGCCATTTCACACCGCCAGATTTGTAACATTATATATATATATAGACTCTCGTCCAACTCACATACATGAATAAACATATGCACGTGTGAGTAGAGAGTGGAATTGATTGAATGGCACGGAATTTCTGTATCCGGCTGAGAACGACGTACAAGAGTATCCATCTCTGGATTTTTATAAAATCTTTTTTCTAGGGCAAATTTTCGCACAACCATAGGTGACAGCGAAAAAACCAAACAAGGAGTTTGGGATATTCTTTATGAACAAAACCACTATAATTATAAATTCAGTTATTTAGTATTACTTATTACAGCCAATTGCCATATTCGGCAATCGTTTTCTCGCCTTCTAGATGAGTCTTTTAATAGATTTTAAGTTGGAGCCTCCTCTTAAAAAAAATTAGCATATGAATCAGATCTGGACCATATTACATGTTGCATAGAAAATTAAAGCAAGTTTACTGCACTATCAACAAAAAAGAAAAAAAAATCAATAACCACTTAACAGTCTTTTCATCTGATGCTAGGATCATGCCCTTATTTAAGATATTTATTTATTTATTTATTTTTCTGATGGTGGAGTAATTGTTAATCTAATTGGAATTGAAACTTATTTTTCAAGAAATTTTTACCAAATTAGGATATTTTTAAATCTTTATTTTTTAAATAGAATGGTTTTAAACTTAATTCTCAAATTAGATATTTTTTTGCCACATAAAATATTTTCATCCACATCATTTTTTCTTTATTGTAATTAATTTGCCTTCTTCTCAAATGAGATAGTTGTACGTCGAAGAAGAGAGCAAGTCCTATCTAAGCTTTCTTCTCGATGAACTCGTCCACGAGCTATGAATGCTCGATAAAAAAAAATCGAGTACTTCGAAGTGTGCTTCAAAGAGTCCATGACACTTCTTCTTGAAGATCAACTCCACAGGATGAAGGACACAAAAGGCATCCGCTACAACGCTAATGATTGGCACAACGTATGCCATCTCGGGAGTTACCATTTAACTTCACCCGTAAACTTAAAGAAACGGTACAAAATGTAGATGGTAAAAAACTTTCAATTCCCTGCTTCAAATGTTACTAGCCAAAGGTACCTTAAATGGGGCTAAATTTGCATTTGTCTCTTTTTCTAGAAAAGTTGATGTCCTTTTTTTGTACATAATATGCTGTTGGTTTTGGGAAAAAAAAGAAAAGAAGGAATTATGTCATTTGATTCATTGCAAGTTTGCAACACTAGGCATAGAATGTGTGAAAACATTACCATAGGACTTAATAAACACGAGTAGCTAAGAAAATCGTTTAAACTTTCTTGAATCGATTCATACACCATCATAAAAGAATGAAAAGATTTCATACAAGAAAAGGTTGTTGCAAGAAACAATTTTTAAGAACCAAAGAAAGAGGGTTGAATTAGAATTATGGGAATCCCAACAGATTCGAACACATGAAGAAGTGCCTTTGGTGATGTGTAAACTTGCAAAGAAACATTAACTATAGGACGAGTTTCAGTTCTACCATAAAAAAGAGAAGAAAAGAAGTAAAAGATAAGGGTGAATTTCAATTTTACCTGAAAAGTTTAAAGTGGAATGTGAAAAATCAGAGTAATACTATTTAATGACATGTATGTTGATGTGTCAATAAATATATATTTTGATAAATAAGTTTAAAAATATCATATTTTAGGAATAAAGATTTAAAACCACCACGTTTGAAAAAAAGCTCTAATTTTCAAACTTCAATAAATTAATGCCAATGCCAATGCCAACAACGTGTCTCCACCCCCACCTGACTCGCTTAAAATATGCATATTTTGGATTAGGAAGCCAATGCATGCAACCCGTTATCTGACACGTTCTCAAATTGCCTCCTCATCTTCGTCTACTATATTATATTTCCTCTCTATCTAGAATATGGTATCTGTTGACTGTTATGAACACTACTAATTACCATTCTTAGTGAAAAAGAGAGAGAGAGAGAGAGAGATTTCGTAACGTTCAAATAAAAGGGCTCCGGCCACTCGTGCTCGAACAGGTTTTTTTTTTTTTTTAATAAAAAAATATAACGTGTAAATAGAATTAATGCAGAATATTGTGGCAAGTGACATGAAGTATGTGATATTCTACGGTGCAAAAAGTCAGTTGTATTCGAATGAAAGACAACCTAAATCTTAAAGATTTTAGCTGTACATTTAAACAAAAAGTCCATGAATCTAGAAGTCATGAATTAGTCTACCTAGCTCTGTGATTTTAGCACCCGTTCCGCATTATAAATTAATGTGTTTAATAACTTACTTACAGATAATGGAATAACAAATTGATCAGTCAATGCACAAGTAATTAATTAGATTATATATATTTATAATCTAATTAGATTGTTCATCAATTGTGATTAAAGTAATATGATCAAGTTCATTCCCAAAGAGTAATATCGATGTTGCTCTCCAAGAAAATAATAATTCGAAAGTGCCATCAAGGCACAGAAAGTGTTCAACCCCTTGGTTAAGGAAACTATTTATTATCTAACTAATCGTGACATTTTTTATATTAAGCACATAGATATATAAGAAAATGATAAATAACAAGAAATAACAAAAAAATATAGCTATTAGATAGAAAGTTTGATGTGAAATTCAATTATGAGTTCCACTAATGTACGTAATGATTTATGTGTGTTCTTGAAATTTTTTCTTATTTTTATTTTTAAAAAAATATTTAACATGTTCTTGTAGGAGAAGTTGTGAACCTATGTAGCATTACTCTTAATGCAATTAATGAAAAAATGGAAATGAAATAAATGTGCTGTGTCACCATCTCAGGAGGGCCTGCTTCAAATGGAAAAAACAAAAAAAAAATCTAACATCGGCGGGTTTCCTATTCACTTTTCCTCACCAAACTTTCCAACCCATGCTTCAAATGGCTAGTAAATTAGAAATCAGTTTTTATATATATATTTTTTATATTCTTATAAAACCAGACAAGATGTTTAATTCTCACAAGGATTCTCTTTCAGGATTATGCATGCAACCCTTGGCCACAAGTTTTGCATATTTTATTTTATTCTTTTGTTAGCTTTTCATTAGCTGGTTTATGGCAACATTGTATCTATTGTGTTTTCCCTTTGTGCTGGACTTAATGAATCATGCCCTCGTTCTCATTGATTGCATTATTTTCTGTTTCTTTTTAATTTGTGCTGGCCTGTATACGAGTTATACCCAGGACAGGTCAAGCACGAATTCTATGAACACGAAAGGACATGAATGGACTCAAAAATTAAAAATCCAAAACAAGAATCATAACTTTTTTTATTATGAGAACTCGTGTCTTTTTTTTGTATTTTATTTTCATACTGCGTAGCACCATTCTTATCTACTAAAAAACTCTTCTTTTTATGAATTTTGATTGGCAGAAAGTCGAAAAGACACAAATAGTCTAAAAATAAATGGCTAAAAGGTCAAATCTTCTCTTAATGTTAACTCATTTAAAATCAAGTATTTAAACTTCAAATTTGATTTTTAAAATTTTATATTTTTTTTAAATTAGTCTTTTTAATAATTTTCAGGTATCATTCTCTAAAAAAAATTAATTTCTGACATTTTTAATTGAAATTTTGTACACACGTTAAAAGAATTTGATTTTTTTTAAATTTCAAAATTTTTTTTTAAAAAATATATATATATATATATATATATATATATATATATATATTTATTTATTTATTTATTTAACATTAAAAATATAATAAAATAATAAAATAGAAAATAATCCTTTTTTTTTAGCTTTATATAAATTTCATCGAATGATTTTTATTAAAAAGCTATTTATGTACATAATTATTGTTTTTTTTTTGAGATAAATAATAAAAAATTAAGAATGAACAAAATCTCAAAAAATTAAAAATTTAATGATATCAAAAATAAAATTTGAAAGATAAATTATAAAATAAGTCAAAGTTTTGAAAAAATTCCACTCATTCAACCGAAATAAAAAGATAAAAACCAAAAAAAAAATTATAAAATCATAACTCTGCTGGCATCATGAGAGTTGTCTGATTTCATACTCCTGTTTTCGTGCCATTTAACGCTGCTCTTATTTATGACACCCTCTGAGAGGAGGCATTTTGGACCCTTTGACTGCAATCCAATTTTTTTTTTAAAAAAAATATTGAAATAAACCATGGAGGTCAAGCCATAGAGCCAGAGATGATGACAATCATGATTTCATAATCTAGTTCAACCGACCCTCCATCCTCACCTACTATAAAAACCAGAAAAAAAACACCGCCTCCCTCCCCTCATATCTCCCACGTGAAAATGACAACCAAATTGACAAACATATTCCGCGATGGGGAATGGGAAATTGACATGAAATCGACAAAGTATTAAAAGGCGGCTCCTATTTTTTGACTTCATATAGTCAACAATCCCCAACCCCAGCCTCTTTCTTTCCCTCATCCTTCCTTCCTATACCCTCTCTCTCTCCCCTCCCCTTTATATTTATTACCTCCTTAGCAAACACCAACCTGACCGATCTATCTTCTCTCAAACAAATCCTTCAAAAACTCCAAAGCAAGAACAGAAAGAAAACATGTTAAAACTAGAAGTTGCAGTACCTGCACCAGGCATGGATTTCGACTTCAACGAGGCTCGACCTTTGCCATTCTTGAGTGCTCCATCTACACCAAAACGGTTTGGGGATTACACCCTCAGCGCTCCAACAAGTCCTTCACGTGTGGCCGAGTTTTATAGTTATTTCGACAGCTTGGTTGATGATAGCAATGAAGAAACAACTGGGGTTCCTTTTCGTTGGGAAGAAAGGCCTGGCACGCCTAAATCACCACGGGCAACAACCAACTCTAATAATGAAGATGACTTTGCTTTTGATTTCAGTGCCAAACTAGAAGAGAAATCACTCTCAGCAGACGAACTTTTTGACGGAGGCAAAATCCGGCCCCTGAAGCTTCCACCTGCTAGATTACAAGCCGAGGATTCTACCCAGAGAAGCCCACGTTCCTCACCACGATCTCCAATACAGAAAGGGAAAACGATGATACGTGAAGTCTTTTCGCCAAGAAAAAAGAAAGATTCAGATCCATTTGCAACTGCTGTTGAAAAAACTCGAAAGAGAACCGAAAATGAAAGAGGAAGGGGAAGAGAGAGAGATTCAGGGTTAACATCCAGTTCAAGCCGCAAAGCATCAAGATCTCTGTCTCCATGTAGAGTATCTGAGTATCCATGGGAAGAAGAAAAACAGCTACAGAAAATCACCAACCAATCAGCACCCAATTCAAAAACTTTAGTATCATCCAGTTCTTCTTCTTCAAAGAGTTCTTCAAAGAAGTGGAGACTCAAAGATTTTCTGTTATTTAGAAGCGCATCTGAGGGACATGCACATGATAAGGATCTCAGGAAGTACTCAGGTCTGTTCAGAAAAAATATAGATGGGAAAGAGCAAGGCTTGCGGTCCACAGACAGTTCAGGTTCAGTGTCTTCAAGGAGAAAGGGACCAGTGTCGGCACATGAGTTACATTACACAGTGAACAAAGCGGTATCAGAGAATATGAAGAAGAAAACTTTCTTGCCGTACAAACAAGGCATTTTTGGGAGATTGGCTTTCAATCCAGCCGCTCATGCTCTTTCCAATGGCTTCGGGACTTTTACGCGTTAATCAAAACGTGATACTTATCCAAAGAGTATAGTTTTTCTTTTGCTGTTAATATAGGAAACTGTCTAAAAGTGTAAAATTTGCACAGGAAAACCCGTTACCTTGTCATTGAAAGTTACTGCTGAATTCTGATCGGTCTTTCATTAATAACTTCTTTGTACCTAGAGCTATATCAATTCTTTGTTTTTCTTTCAATTCTTTTCAATTGTAAGATTCTTTTTTTTTATTTCAATTCTTTTCAATTGTAAGAGCAGGGTAATATTGGAACCATACACAATCAAAAGCTCATATCTATTTCCTTTTGAATGCTAATTTCTTAAATTTTTGACATCTTTTAATTTGGATATGAATTTTTGCCACCTTGTTATGCCACACATTGCCTCGCAGTTTCCCCTTCTAAGATGTGATCAATTCATCAAAACAAGTAATTTTTAAGAGAAATTAAATCAAATGCTTAAGTTTTGCGGGTGAACACTAGTAAAATCACAATACCCCAAATCTAGTGTGAAGGAACGGAAATGTGTGAACACGTAGTCTTACCAAACAAAGGATCCTTGCATTACTTTTTTCCCATTTTTTAAATCATCATTGAATTAGTCTAACAACTCGACGATAACAAGAATATCAAGGACATTGAAGATTAGAAACAGTGATCTCTGATGTATACGGCTACCTAATAAGTTCATTAACATGATGTTTTATGTGCCATAACATTTCAGCAATCTATTAGGTCAAAATGTTACAACAGGACATTTGTCCCGCTATTTTTGGAATTATAGACTACCTGTCATGCATGGACGCTTCTGCAAGAAACCACCGAATGACCTTCTGCATGAGGATTTGTATCGCACATTCATCAATTTAATTCTCTACAAAGGAAAATAAATAAACCACCGGTGAGGGTAAACAAGTAGACATTGTCAACTTCTAGAAGTGGGAAGACTTCATGGTCAAAATTGATATTTTTATTCTTGATGATCCCACACTACTATTTTAATATCTGACAATAGCAGCAATGCAACTTGGAGCGGACTGTTTTCAACCAAAGGATTGGCACAAACAGAAATGCAGTAATGCAACTTCTAGAATCTAGCCAACCAACCATCAACGATATATTTCAACTCAAGATGACCAACCCGAATTTGGCGGGATGTAGGCACTTTTATCCGCAATCACTGGATATGCAATTTGACTACGTTATTACAAGTTCAGCAGGTGCAGATATAAAAAAACCTTCATGATTCCTCAGACATGTCATTTATGGAAAAAGCATATCAAATTCGCGTTTAGTCAAGCACGCATCCCTTTTGCAAAGGTTTCAACATAAATCATCTGTAACTAGTCTTTATATTAGCTTTAGAGAAATGAAGCAAAGTTACATCACATGAAATCAAAGGGTTCACAGGTGCAAGTTGGCAGTTCTGATAAATATGAAACATAACTGACCAGGAATAATAATGTCCATTTCTAATTGTCAACAGGAGCCTGCTGTAGGAAGTGATGGAAGAACAATTAAAAAGTCATTTTTTCAAGTTCCCAGTCCAGTACCAAAGTGGAGGAAGGTGTTAGCATATGCTTTTGTCAGTTTCACGGGCATCCAACCTTCCGAGCTCGTTTTAGTCCTTTCCACTTACAAGAGTCCACAAAGTTCCTGAAAACCAGAAAATCAATTTCTTTGATCAGATGGCATCAAAAGATTTTTAACAAGTCAATGATTGCACTCACATACTGTCATACCGTATGCTTAATCAAAGTTATCAATTCTGATTGGAGTAATCTCATCTGCCACAGTAAAGTTTCCAACCAAACGGGCAAAAAACAGCATCTGTTGTTCCAGTGTAAACTTAATGTTCTCAGCCTGCATACAATCAGAGATCGAACCTCATGCATCATGCATCTCCAATCCAAATGTTGTCGCTAAATGAACAGTAACATTAGTGTATACCTTGCGGAAACCATGCTGTTCTCCTTCATACTCCACAAGCGCTACTGGCAAACCTTTTTTCTTCAATGCCTGGTAGATTTGACGAGCCTGATCAGGGGGTACAACCTACACCATGCAGAGACATCCTGGGCTCAATTGTCACGGATATGCTGAAAGCTCTGCTATTTCCTAGCATTTAGTAATCCAATGATCTCTTGTCTAGTAGATATCATTCCTGCTGCCTCACTGACTAAGAAGGGAACAGGCACAACCCTACATGGATCCCTTTCTTTCTGTTTATTTTGGGATCACATACTTTATGTTTTGCAACCAATGATATGTAATGTGATTTTTTAATGCAACACATCAGGACCGTCAGATATATATCCTCTGTGATTCTGACAATTCATCTTAGCACGCAAAGTTCCCGACAGAAAATAATAGTTGTCATATTAAGAAGCCAATAAAGGAAATTACAGGATGCTGGTAGAAGAGTGACATCATCTTTAGGGCAACAAATACATTAAAAGATCCGTAAGTTCACATTCCTCACATTGTTGATCTTTCAAGATGATCATTCAACTTAACACATGATTTAAGTTGCTCTGGATAGCAATCTAGCTTACGGTTGGATTTCACCATCAAACCAAGATGGAAAGAAATACAATTTAATCAAATAGTAAAATTTCAAGTCACATGTGAATTAAACCAACCCAAGTTTGTCAATAAAGATCAGCTTTGCATGTAAAGAAACAACAGTAAGAAATCTTCTCCATTTTTAGTTAACTTTAGAAAGCAACACCATTAACAAACAATCAGTCAATAACAGCAAGATAGTATGATGTACACATATCCATCACCCTCATTCTCATTATTTTAGCCACATGTGTCTGGTTTTTGGACTGAAGATTATTGATACCCTTGATTAGCATTCTTATACCCAAAAGAACACAGAAAAAAATGGGATCCGGACCTTGTCTTCCAATCCTTGGAATAGAATGATGGGGCAAGAAAACCTATTGACAAAATTGATAGGCGATCTCTCATAGTAATCCTTGTCAGTACCTGAAGTCAGCAAAGAATTTCCACACCACTAAATGAAATAAACAGAAAATAAAGAAACTAGCGTGTAAATGAGATCTTTTAGTGTAATTTACCAACAAGAGCATCCATGTAACGAGACTCAAATTTGTGAGTTTCTGCCCTCAACATGCTTAAGTCAGCCACCTGTTCATTAATGAAGCTCTATGTCAGGTCTTATATTCTTTGCAATTCCTTTAATCAGTAATCAATATAATTGATCTATCAATTTAAATCAATAAAAACCAAAGAAATCAAAATGAAATTCATGGTTATGGAAAAGCACACCAATGGGAGAAAAAAAGGAAGAATAAGCAAAATTCTGCAGACGCAGAAGCCAGAGAACTTCAAATATTTCTTTAAATTGCTACACAATGAAATTGTGGATCTTCTACACTTATTTTCTTGGCTCAGAATTTATTATAACCCCTCTCCAAAGGGAGCCACTGTACATTCAAGATCAAGATTCAAACCCATGCAACCCTGCTCAGATATACGAAATGCAGGTTATTGTAAGGTCTTCCTCAATTTCATCATTGTTCAGCTAGATGCTAAAGTTTTCGAATAAGAAGTCCACACTGACTGTGAATAAGACTCACAGAACATGATGGTCAAGGTTCTAAGTTGTTAATGGTGGCTGAAAAATGAAGCTCAATAGTCATGTTCAACGAGATTTAGTGATTCAGCAAAAGGGCATCGTGCTTCTTGACCTAAAAAATGATGGACAATCAAATTCAGTTTAGGTACAGAGGTCCCAGAAGGTTTCCTTTTTATAGTAAAGTTAACCTTGGAAAACATAAGCATTTTTCTTACAGTTGAGGGCATTATTCAGATGGGGTGTATCGTACACAGAATCTGTGTCAATGAGAAAATAATAGAGAAGAAAGGGATACAATCCATCCGGCAGAGTGTGTTCACTTGCTGAAAGACGATTGGCAATTCCCTCTTCATTTTACATCTTTCCCTTTCAACATATTCTACATCCATCCCAACCAATCCCTACCAACCCCCCCAACACCCCCCACACACACACAACAGCAAACAACTGATCTCAATAGGAATATAACCAGTGATAAAAGTAGGAAACAGAGAGCAGTAAGCAAATAATGCATAGCAGTGCTTTGCAAAAAACTGCAGTGGAATACTATAGCAATTGTATTATCTGGAGAAAAATGAACCCAATGGTTATTTCCAGATCCGTTTTAATGGGCTGTAACATCTTTCAAATTCAAATAGGACCATAATGTGAGCTGCATTTTACAATCAAGGCAACAACCAAATTCTTCTCACAACATCATTGACCATATGCTAGAATCAATTGGGAAACAAATTTGGAACTAAATTTGGGATGAATCACTCACACCATACAAGGAAGCTCCAGCTTTAAATGTTTCTTTAAAAGCAAGAGCAGCTAAGGTTGTATAGCCACCAGCAGAGCCTCCAGTTATACAAAGCCGATCCCCATCTACCTTTCCATTGTCCACCTAGATCATAAATATGCCCATTAGCATAGTTTTTCTTATCATAGCACGTATATCCAGAACAACAAGCAAAGCAGTGAAAGAAAGGATAAGCATTACCAAAAATTTCGCACAACTGCAACAGTCATTGACATCCACAATTCCCCATTTACCCAACAAGCGTTCTCGATATTCTCTACCATAACCTTCAAATTACGCCCATAAAATGTTTAGAATAAAGATATTATCACATATAAATGTCAACATTTTTATCCAACAAATAAGCATAACTGCAAAAGGAGCCCAGGCTCCATACTTTTTTCCATAAGATGATTCTCAAAGGAGAAAAGGTGCAATTGGAGCCAACTAAACTGCTGAAACAAATACCAAATTTAAAAAATGCAGGGGTCAAGCGCAACCAACTTTGAATCAGTGAAGAATAATAGATGTTTACCAATTATGCATATTATGGTTGAGATGGAATAGAAATGAAGGTTAAGGACAAACCAGTGCTTCCACCGTAATTCACATCCACAAATGCCCAACCACGACTGGTCCAGTACTGGATGCTCAAGTTTAAGATTCCACGCGTTTCGCTCGTAGGCCCTCCTGAAAAATTTAACATGCCATGTGTGCAATAACATACTAAATATTAAAGCAAACCAGTTTATTCAAAAGATAGCATAAATTAAAACATCTACCATCAAACAAGTTCAGCAATCAGCCACTTCATCCTACCACATTAAGTTCTATAAATCAATTCATTGAAATACCTTACCAATTTATCAATATGGCTATTCATTTTATACTTGATGTTAATTTTAAAAAAAATCTTTTAGCCAAGTTTTCAATTGCCAGTCCAATCAAGATTGCATTGTATTATTTCTCAAAAATGAAATGCAAAGAAATATGCCAGTTTTATCATGATGAGATATGTTGAACTCAATTCCATAACTGTCGAATAAAAATGCTCACAAACACATCAACCACATCACAATGGCCACTCCATTAATCCTTTTCCTTCATTTTTCATCAATTGGTAACAGTGAACATTAACATACAACCAGGGGAACATACCATGGCTTTTCAACAATAATGGAGGCTTTTCTTCCTGACTAGCTTGGTAATTGGGATTAGAAGGTGGATAAAAATATGCATATGCATTTTGACCAGGAACTTCTGTTGGGAATTCAATCAACTCTGGCAAACTGAAGTAGGAGTTGTACTTCAAACTATCAGGTGAAGACGACCAAACAATCGTGAAATCAACAACTTTGGATCCATAGTCATCTAAAGTGACCTGAAATGGACAAAGGTTAAATGACATTGAGATTACGATCTTGTAAAACTAAAATCACCAGCTCCTGGTAAACAATGAAATTGGTTCAGAGAAAAACAACTTGTGGCACCTTAGCCACTGATGATGGATGAACTGCAGATGCTCCCTCAACATATAAGCAATGGTTCCCTGAAGTCTGCATGGCAAAGAAGCACAGCTTAGATAGGCCATCGTTAATGTCCTAGCTAAGGGCTTTCTGTTCAAACTTCAGATTGGAGAGAATAAGGTTTGAGGAAGTACAATATTATCTATGTCGGTGAAAGGAATATCAAGCAGAGATAATGAGCTTTGAACGTCATCCAGAATACCAAGAAATGATCTTCCATTCTGCCTGCAACCAAACACCCAATAGTTCGATCACAATGAGCTTGGGTTTGCATGTGCAAGTTCACCAAAATTTAGCAAAGAAAAAAAATATTGGGAAAAAAAATAGAAGCACATGCATAAAGCAAAGAATGCAAAGCTATTAACTTTTCAAGGTTTACCTGTAAGTGCAAGCAATTAAGTTCTTTCCTTCATTGTTCTGAATAATTTCATAAGAATTTATGCCAAAAACCCACAATGGTTTCGAGAACTCAGCATTCAGGGAGTAAACAGCTTTCACCTCGTTGACAGATTCAATCTGTTGTCCAAAGAATGGATAATCAGTTCGGGGGATAACTACATCCAATAAATGGTTGTAATGCAAGAACAAGGTCCAAGCACTCCAACATAAAAAATAATGCTCCCACAATCCTGGATATGATTTTTTTTTATTTTTAATCTCATGAAAATGAGAGAGATAGAAAATGCTGCCTAAGGATGCATGGATCCTTTGTCCTGCATGTAAATTTGGCTATCTATAAGGAGCATAACTGATTATAATTTTGTCTTCATGTAAAAGAAAACTACATAGAGCAAACAGTGTACTGTAGCATCAAACTACTGTCCAATTATAGAACTTACCCATTTATATAGATTCCAAAATCCACTTTTTCTATCAGTGATGAAGAATAGTTCTCCTGTATCAATACAAATGAAAACATCACTATATGCAATAACTTGAAGCTACAAAATTCTGACGGGATATAATAGCAGAACATCATACATGTATGGCAGAAATGTTAAATAAATAATACAAAAGGCAGTAGCTTCCTATGGAATCAAGCACAAGGCTCAAGACCCAAACTCGTTTCCAGGACTATGTTTGAGGAATATGATTTGGGAATGGATGTGAAGGTGATCAACCCAGTGGCTACTTTCAGAACATATACCTTGTTGACCTGATCACCTTTCTCAGAACAAACATACTACATGTTTTATATAAATAAATGTTGCAGATATAAGCTTCCCCGAACAACACATCTATGCCAGATAGAATTTGCTCCTCAGCCAAGTCATACCAAATATGTGAAGTTCCATGATAAAACCAACTAAATATAGTACCTTTGGAGGACCACTTGGGCTCAGTTGGAGCCTCCACAAGGGCAGGATCACAACCAGCAACACAAATGCGTTTGTGAATATCTCTGCATGAGAAAATGAGGAATAGGTGACATCAAGTTGTTCTGTATATGTATTTATATGCATTATGATAACTGAAAACTAAATTCAGCGCATAATGTAGAATCAAGTGATTGTCTGTCCTAAAGAAGGGTGACCTGTTATGTTTGTTTCGACACAAATTTAAACTCCTAAAGTTAAGCAGATTTTTGGATAGCAAAGTAAGCCTTATTCATGCACCAACCAGCATAAAACAACAGCACAGCAATGATAAGTTGCATGGTATCAATTTAAGATTGACACCTTATGATAATGGCTGGTCTTTGGACAAGTTAAAGCATTGTTAGCAAGAAAATTCTTGAAAGGATCCAGGATGGTATGGAACATCGTACATCAGCAGCAAGAAAAGGAAATTTGACAACTACTGCTATAGAAAGTTCTAGAAACACAATCATAGACAAATTCTGCTTACCCATTTTCAGAAATATAGCCGACCCAGAGCTCTGTTTTATCCCATGGCATATTAGGGTGACCCCATTGTATCCATGCTATCCGTTCACCTTTGGGGTCTATGCGTGGGAACGCATAGAAGTCATTGCCACTTGCTAATACCTTTGGCTCTGAAGTCATAATATCCACACAAAAAAAGTAATTTCCTCAACATAATGGCAAAAATCTAATAGCAAAACAACTGATATTACGAGAACAAACATTTAGACAATTCTGAAAACCTCAAAAGCCAAGTTAAAAATATGGAAATTTTTAAACAAGTCCGTCTTCTATGTTATCACTGCAATTGGAGAAGATAGAAAAGTAGTAAATCTATTTCTAACAGGTTTATACCTTGGATACTCTTGTCATTGAGGCCTATCGCTACAATCGTTGTGGTTGAATTTGTACTACTCAAGCGACGATCTATCAAGAACAACATAAATTCATTAAAGCACATTGCTTCGATTTCAAAATCCAAAGTAAGCAGTGTCCGTGATGATTTACCTTCCATTACAGTAACATAACGGTTAAAGTGCAAATCAAAGACCCCATCAGCATAAGAAACTACCGGTCCACCATAATCCGGTGTAAGCGGTACAGGAGAAGAATCTACCACAGACAAAGCATAGATTATCAGCAAATTGCAATGCAAAAAAGTGAAAATAGCAGTTGATGAGTAAGTAATGACCCATAGAGCCGTCCACCTTTGAAATTGATAGATTGCTTGTAAAGCCGTTGATCTTTGTAATTAGAGAAAATGAGAGTATCTCCTGATATCGTGAATGCGCCACCACCATACTCTTGAGCCGTAGTTCTCACCGCAAATTCTTTCGGTGTAATATCGGTGTGTTCTTCTCCCGCTTTCTCGGCTTCTCTCACAAGAACCGCTCGCCTAAACAAATTACCACAATCCAAACTCAAATGATGAGAGAACTGAAAAGAGTAAAGATACTTTGTGCGAGAGTTATGCCGTGTACCCTGATTCAGCGGGGCGAGATTCAACCCAGAAGAGGTGACCGTGGCTGTCAACGGCGGTGCCGGCGATTCGTTTGGAAGCGCCGGAGACTACGTCAGCAGTGATTGGGGACTTCCAAGAACCGTAAGGAGCAGTGTGTTTGGCTGTTGCATCTACTTGTGTTGAAGAAGCCATCGTTTTGAAACTAGGCTGTTTTAGCTGTCGCTTAGTAGAAAAGTTAGTGATGACTTTAATTTTTGTGTAGTTTCTGCTGAAGAGACTGAAAGATTGAGAAGAAACGGAAGCAGAAGACAAGCGAGTAAGAGTGAGTGACGATAGCTGTGATAACCATGGGCTAGCGTACGGCATACCCATAAATTGTGCAAGTGGGCATATACTATTAGTATTTTTTTGAGAATGAGGTTGGTATATATCATTGGTGAGACTTGATAGCGGAACTTTCTAACTTTTCTATCATCCACCTTTTGATTCCATGAGTCGAAGTGTAGAGCAGCAATTCTCTGCTAATAAAGTGTCAAATATCAGTCGCATTCGACTAGCAACAAGGAAAAGTTATACAATGATGTACAATGTATTCCACTTAGTGAAGCCATGAACTGAACCAATGGAAACATTGTGTAAATTGTGTCTTTCACCTCTTCCAATGTTTGAGCAATCATAACATAGTAGGGAACTTATATAATAAAAGATGATGAGTTTACCGTATATGAAACTAATTTAAAGTCCCCTTGACCTCCATTTCAGTAATGGACAGACAAGCGGCACAATTGTAACACATTTTATGTTCAATACTCAGACAATATCAAGTTTCACAAAACTATACGTGTCATGTAAGCATAAGAAAATAATAAGTTTCACAAAGCTATATATGTCATGTAAGGATAACAAGGAAATGATCGTTTCTGTAATTTAAGAAGATTGAGAAGATAACACAAGTGAATCCAGAAAATGAAACCCAAAAACTTATCCACTAAGAGAAAAAGAAAGAAAGAAAAGAACGTGAACACGAAGATATGAAGGTCTAACACAGGCAATCAAATTTACGCTCTAGTGAGTCATAGGCAGCTAGTCTACGGCAACTTGTGGTAATGGTAGCCCGGAAATCATCATATCTTTTTCTGGGATGCCTCCTGAACTCGGGATTGATCGTGCACCCTTTCTCGCCATACCGTTGAAATATGGTCAGAGATGCATTCTGTCTTCTATGGCAAGTCCACTGTTGGAGCAGCACCAGTCTTAGGACTCTGCCTTCATGACTTCACCGTGAATAACCACCACCACTCTATCTCTACAGTTGTATTTGAAGGCTAAATGAAGATCACAGCAATAAATAGCACATGCAATAGAATATATACAGTCCAAAAAAATTGTTTGGTATAAACCATTAGCATAAAAATTGGCAAGCCAAAAACAAGTAAGAAAAAACATCGGTATCAATCGGTTGTAAGAAATATTCTATGGCCCATATGTTAGTTGTAAATCTGTAAATGACAATTTAAAGATTTAAAGCTAAATGGACTTTAGTAGTGAGCTCGGCACATCCATGATGGATGGAAGTGCAAAATTAGGTTAAAGAAAAAGTTTCTGATCTAGCCATAGAAATAGTAATTAAAGCATGTGTTATCCATCAACAAACAAAATCCTAAAGTATTGATATAGACTAGAAGGCTCTCTCTCCTTAGCGGCTCTAGTTTTCTTTCAACGAATATCTTGAGCGATTAATCAATCATGTGACGTAAGATATGTATCCCGATAATTTTCGTCTGCGCTTATATGCTTAGGCATATTTAATAATCTCACATGTGATAGCGGAGCCTCCTTCTCGCTAAATTGATTAGTTTTAATAGAAATCTATCAATTGTATTTAATGAATACAAATTACGATTATTTAATGGATGTGATATTAAGTATGTAATATGAGTATTTTAATTATATTATTTTTCTTGTCACTAATCGGATGGGATTTATACAGAAAAAATCGTATATCACGGTAGAAATCGTTAAATCAAATATGCATAATTGATCCGTGATATTTTTTCTTTCTTTATGGAACTTGGAAGAGAGGCGTGCACACCATGTGCCAGATATAGTACAAAACTTAGTCATGCCAAGTTTCATCTCATTAAATATAACATACATATTGTCCAGCATGTTTCTTTTATTGGATTAAAATAATAATAAATGTTAACAAATGGTACAGTTTGTCAAAATTGTATTTGTTTTTTTATATATCAAAGCACATGACTTGATCCGTGGCATGCATATTTTTGTCATTTATTTGAATCCGAGGCATGCATATTTTGTCATTTATTTAATGATTCAATATATATGAATCACATGACCCTGATACGTGCATGCATATTTTTATGTTTCAATATATATGAATCACGTCCCTGGATTAAGGTATGCATAAAAATAACAAGCCGCATGTATAAAAATAACAGCCGGGACTTATGAAAGTCCTTTTTTCGTGGGGGCTCAAACAATTTCTTTTATGCATATATTATAGGCTCTGTTAGCATATGTAACCCTCGTAAAAATCTTTATCCGTAACGCGACGTGTATTAGTATAATTCTATATATATGTATATTAAGAGTAAGTATAATTCTCATTTTATCATGAGAAATTAATGCTTGAAATATGTGATTTATGTTAAATTAAAGTTATTATGCTTAAGATTAATGATTTAATTATTAAAGAAATCAAATATGCAAAATCGAGTGTTTTAAGGACTATATTCTGCTCGAGTTTTGTGTGAATTATTTGAGGACTTTAGGATAATTTTTGAGTCAACTTTAAAGAATGAAAGTTGTTCATCTATGTGTTGAATAGACCCGTATAAAATTTTATAATATTTGGACCTATAAATTAAGATTTATACCAATTATAGTGAGGGTTGTTTCGAAATGCATTCTGCTGGAATTTTGGAAGAAGAATCTGCCCGAATCTTGTGAGATTTATTTGATGCTGTTAGATTGATTTTTGAGCAAAACTTAAAGAATAAAAGTTGTTTTTCTATGTGTTTACTAGTGCTCTATAAAATTTCATAATTTTTGGATACATATAGAAAGAGTTATGCACATTTTAGTATAGATGGGTTAGGAGGTAACACTCGCTAAAATTTTGGAGGAAAAGAAATTTCGAATTTTAAAAATGAAAATTTTGGAATTTTTTATAAAAGAAATTATGTCTAATTACATGAACCCAGCTTATTAATGTGTTTATTTAGCCTAAGTTTTCTTTAGCCACCTAAGCACTTGAATTAAATGCTTGGAAGCCAAATCATCACCTTTGACTTTCAAAACATGCAAGCTTTGCCTTTCAAAACATGCCGGCTTTGCCTTCCAAGCTTCCTACACTTTACATTTGGGCTAGTTAAATTTTAACACTTATGATATAAATAAATAAGAGGATAAAAGGTGAGTATATAAGGAAAGAGAGGGTTAAATGGCTGCCATTTTTAGGCCAAAAACCGTAGCCATCCATAATTAAAAGAGAAGCCAAATTGAAGAGAGAAAAACAACAAAAAGAGAGAAAGAAAGAAAAGAGAAAGAGAAAGGGAAAAAGGAAAGAAAAAAAGCTAAGGAAATTCTAATCAAACCTAAAAGAGGTAAGTAGGTTTCATTTCTTGGCTGATTAATGTCTTAAATTATTTTTTTTAAGTTATTTTGTTAGTGTTTATTTCATGGGTTGTAATAATCTTCAATGGTTATATGCTTGATGCTTGGGATAAATCTATGTATGGATGCCTTGTTGTGATAATTTATGATGTTATGATTTTTTGAAAAATGTCAAAGTATGTGATGATGGGTTGGATTGAACTTGGACTAAATTTAAGTGAACTAAAACATGTTTAAAATTGGTTGGAATGAACTAATAAATTAGTGTTGGTAAGGAGTAAATTCTGTCCGAATTTTGGGGTGTATGTTCAAGAATTTTAGATCGATTTCTAGGTGAAACTTAAAGCATAAAAGTTGTTCATCTATGTTTCAACTAACTTCTTTTAAAATTTCTTGGTCATTGGATTCGTGTACAAAGAGTTACACCCGATTTAGTATGGATAGCTCTAGATAAACTACTATTAGGCAGATTGCTCCTTAAGTTTCAAAAATTTGTAATTAATTGTGTATTTGGTATTTAGACCTAATTTTTGGATATGTTATAAATAAATATGTTTAGTATCTAAAATAAAATGAGTAAGATTTAATTATGTTCTGAAATTAGAAAATTATTTACTCGATTAGGAGTTGCCCGGTAATAAACCCTAAAACCAAAAAAATTAGACTTTTACAAAATTAATAGGTTTGGAATAAACTAAATGAGCTTGGACTAAATAAAATGGAATTAAATAGAGTCAATGGACCTAGGATAAAGTTAATGGGCTCGGATTAAAGTAAATGGACTTGGACCTTCTTTTAAATATTAATAAAACTAATGAACAATATTAATGAACGGAGATTGTGTTCTCGTCGTGGGTATCATGATTGGTATGTGAGCAATGGATAAATTTCGAGTGTGGGTTGGACCATGAGTATGGCATGAGAATGAAGGGTTGGTACTCAAATTTGGTTGAAGATGATTAAATATGTCATCACGTGCATCATGTGCATAGTGGGTGGTTTAAGACAAGTCAATTGATTGAGAAATGGTTTATACATCTAGGTTCGATAACCTAATCGGAATAAATGGGTATTAGTAGTCAAGTACTCTAGGTTGTGTGCCCGCACTATTAGACGATGGATTTCGCTAATAGTAGTTACAACGAGGGATAATTCCGTTGTAGCGAGAAGATGATCCGAGAATCATCCGGATGAAATCAAGTTGTGTACTTGCACTATTAGAGGATGGATTACCGCTAACGGTAGTTACAACGAGGGATAATTTCGTTGTAGTAGAAGGTGATCTGCGGACCACCCGGATGATAAATAGAGTAGGTCGGCTAATACCCAAGGTATCCGAGATTAAAATTTATGAGTATGGTGAGAAGTCAAAACAACATTGCATATCACATGCATCACCACGCTTACCGAGCTTCGGCTCACCTTGTTGTTATTTTTTTTATGTCTTGACGGAAAAAGGACAAGTTGGTACGGATGTGGTCGGCTCTTCCTAAGCTGGCTCATGTGAGGCACCATATATTAGTTTTTATTTTGTACGTAAATTTGGGGTATGGAGTTCATGAGAAATTGAATATTGCCTTTAATGTTTTATTAATGTATTTAATTATGTTATGTAAATTTTATCTTAAGGAGTTATATACGTAATGTACTTGTTAAAGTCTTAAAAATATCATAAGAAAACTACCTAGAGTTTAGGGTATGTCGGCGTAACGCACTTCGTCCGAGTACCTACT